CCTTCCTATTCTGTTGTCTTCTTCCACTTCCATGCATTGCTTATTTAAAAATAGTTCCTTATCTCTTCTGGCTAACCTCTGGAATTGCGCATTTAACTGGGCATATCTCCCCTTATCCCTGTTTCCTTTTGCTTTCATCCTTTCTTGGGCTACTTCCAGTGTCTCAGCAGACAACCATTTTGCCTTCTTGGTTTTCTTTTTCTTTGGGACGTACTTTGTTGCCGCCTCCTGAACAATGTCGCGGACTTCTGTCCATAGTTCTTCTGGGACTCTGTTTACTAAATCTAGTCCTTCAAATCTGTTCTTCACTTCCACTGTATATTCGCTAGGAATGTTAGTGAGATCATATCTAACTGGTCTGTGTATTTTCCCTGATCTCTTTAGTTTTATTCTAAATTGAGCAAAAAGAAGTTCGTGATCTGAGCTACAGTCAGCCCCAGGTCTTGTTTTCACCGACTGGATGGATGTCCGCCACCTTTGGCTGCAAAGGATGTAGTCAATCTGATTTCGGTGTTGACCATCTGGTGAGGTCCACAGATATATAAACCCATTTTTCCTACTTCCAACAGACCTCACTACCTCTGAGGATGCTTGCCATAGATGCAGGCGAAACGTCAGGAGAAAAATTGCCTCCAGAACGTGGCCATATAGCCCGGAAAAACCTACAACAACCCAATGAAAATATTGTTATGGTTGGGGGTCACCATAACATGAGGAACTCTATTAAGGGATTGCAGCATTAGGAAGGTTAGGAGATACAGTGGTGTAAGTGGACACCCCAGCCACACACACACACACACATACATATTGTTGATGAAGGCTTGATGAAATTACATAATTCACATATTGGAAAATATATATTTGATGTAACCATATTAGAAATCGAGCCCCCGGTGGCGCAGTGGGTTAAAGCACTGAGCTGCTGAGCTTGTTGATCGAAAGGTCGCAGGTTCGATTCCGGGGAGCGGCGTGAGCTTCCACTGTCAGCCCTAGCTTCTGCCAACCTAGCAGTTCTAAAACATGCAAATGTGAGTAGATCAATAGGTACTGCTCCGGCGGGAAGGTAATGGCGCTCCATGCAGTCATGCCAGCCACATGACCTTGGAGGTGTCTACGGACAACGCTGGCTCTTCGGCTTAGAAATGGAGATGAGCACCACACCCCAGAGTCAGACATGACTGGACTTAATGTCAGGGGACTACCTTTATCTATATTAGAAATAGGAGTTAGAAAATATATAAGAGAAATCTATGTATGCATGGCCTTCACTTCACTTGACTTCTTAAAAGCTGCAAAATTAGAGAGGCCAGCATCAAGGAAAAGGAATGTCTAGAGGCCTAGCATATTTCAAGAGGCTCCATCTTGGTACCAGGCACCTTATCGTAAGATTAATGAGGTAGCCATCAAGAGCTTTCAGGAAGACCTTATCTTAGGATGGAGACTCTTGCTATCAGGGTCCAGTAGACATTCTGGCGGATGGTCCTCATTAATAGCAACTCTTCAGATAGGGATGCTAAATGGAGATTGACAGGTGTTGAAATGGAAATATGCTATTGAAGTCAATGTAAAAGTAGAATTTTGTGACGCACATTGTGATGTCTTTATGATGCATGCATATTATTTTAAAGGGTATATATACCAAGCCTTTTCTTTGTTCTGTACCCTTCTTTCCTGGCTTACCAGGAGGGTCCATATCCGGTTGGCGCCGAGAATAAAGCCGTGCTTTTCAGTTCTCAGGATCTCTCTTTGTCTCTTTTTCTCAAACCTTCTCCCTGCCATTTCTTTGTCACTTTTATTATGTGTATTGATAGATTTTCATAGAATCATAAAGTTGGAAGAGACCTCGTGGGCCATCTAGTCCAACCCCCTGCCAAGAAGCAGGATAATCACGTTCAAAGGACCCCCAACAAATGGTCATCCAGCCTTAAAAGCCTCTAAAGAAGGAGCCTCCACCACACTCCGGGGCAGAGAGTTCCACTGCTGAACAGCTCTCATAGTCAGGAAGTTCTTCCTAATATGTTTTTATATATATATACACACACACACACACACACACACACACACACACACACACACACACATATATATATATATATATATATATATATATATATATATACACACCCCGCCACCATCTTCCCAACGAGGACTCGGGTGGCTTACATGAGGCCAAGCCCAAACAACAAATTACAATAAAATAAGATACAAGTTAAAATAAAATAAAAAAACATTGCAATAAAATACAAAACACATACAATAAACAAAATACAAAAAAAAATGTTCCGGTGGAATCTCCTTTCCTGTAGTTTGAAGCCATTGCTCTGCATCCTAGTCTCCAGGGTAGCAGAAAACAAGCTTGCTCCCTCCTCCCCTATGACTTTCCCTAACATGTTTATACATGGCTACCATGTCTCCTCTCAGTCTTCTCTTCTGTGGGCTAAGTATGTCCAACTCTTTAAGCTGCTCCTCATAGGACTTGTTCTCCAGACCCTTGATCATTTTAGTCACCCTCCTCTGGACACTTTCCAGCTTGTCACCATCTCTCTTCAATTGCGGTGCCCAGAATTGGAGCCCCCGGTGGCGCAGTGGGTTAAACCGCCGAGCTGCTAAAGTTGTTGACTGAAAGGTTACAGGTTCGAATCCGAGTAACGGAGTGAGCTTCCGCTGCCAACCCAACAGTTCGAAAAAATGCAAATGTGAGATCAATAGGTACCGCCCCAGCGGGAAGGTAACGGCGCTTCATACAGTCATACCAGCCACATGACCTTAGAGGTGTCTACGGACAATGCCGGCTCTTTGGCTTAGAAATGGAGATGAGCACCAACCCCCAGAGTCAGACACGACTGGACTTAATGTTAGGGGAAAACCTTTACCTTTACTATTCCAGGTGTGGTCTAATAATCGTGTGTTTTGTATTGTATTTTATAATCTGGTTTTTATGTATCTATATGTCTGTCCTGGCTGCCGATAATTTGCCGAGCCAAATTCAAGGTGCAGGTGATAAAGCCCTAAACGGTTCCGGCCCTGCCTATCTCCATGATCGCATCTCCTTCTATGACCCGGTATGGACACTAAGCTCCACCGGGGAGGCCCTTCTCTCGCTCCCACCATCATCTCAAGCCTGATTGGTGGGGATGAGGGAGAGGGCCTTCTTGGTGGTGTCCCCCTCCCCTGCCTCTGGAATGCTCTGCCCAAGGAGATTATTTATTTATTTATTTATTTATTTACTTTGCTTATATACCACAATTCTCAGCCCAGGGGCGGCTCACTGGCCCCATCCCTCACCTCCTTCCGTAAGAACTTGAAGACTTGATGGTTTCATCAGGCCTTCAATAATGAATAGTCTCGTCTCAAGCCCTTGGTCCAACAGTTAGGGCTTGGCCTTGTACCCAATCCGTTCCCCAGTTCCCTGTCATCTGAGGGCACCTTTTCTTCCAGCCCAGACCTTTTTTATAGTCCTGTAATTGGCCCTGGAATTGAGTAGTCCCGGTCCCCTAGTAGGGCCATTGCTGAGACTGATCCTGTACTGTATCATTCAGCCAGTCCCATTTTTCCCTTCTCCTTGCACTATCCTTTGCCCTTGCGAATGTAAACAGAGAGTAAACAATCAGGCACATCAAATCACTCTCAACAAAAGATTCCCCCCAGGCACTTCCAAGCCATTAAATGCTAATCAAGGTGGTCAGTTGAAATATTCACACCTAGCTCCAGCAGACATAAGTCCTTTGTCCCACCCTGGTCACTCCACAGATATATAAACCCATTTTTCCTACTTCCAACAGACCTCACTACCTCTGGGGATGCTTGCCATAGATACAGGCGAAACGTCAGGAGAAAATGCCTCTAGAACATGGCCATATAGCCCGGAAAAACCTACAACAACCCATTGGTTCTTTTGTTTTTAAGGTACTCATTATGCACAGAGCATTTATATATATATGTGATATAGATATGTCTGTCCTGGATGTGAAAGACCTATGGCCTAAGCCAGTGTTTCTCAACCTGGGGGTCGGGACCCCTGAGGGGGTCGCGAGGGGGTGTCAGAGGGGTCGCCAAAGACCATAAGAAAACACAGTATTTTCTGTAGGTCATGGGGATTCCATGTGGGAAGTTTGAGCCAATTCTATCGTTGGTGGAGTTCAGAATGTCTTTGATTGTAATGCACTATAATTCCCAGCAACTACAACTCCCAAATGTCAAGATCTATTTTCCCCAGACTCCACCAGTGTTCACATTTGGGCATATTGAGTATTCGTGCCAAGTTTGGTCCGGATCCACTATTGCATGAGTCCACAGTGTTCTCTGGATATAGGTGAACTACAACTCTCCCAAACTCAAGGTCAATGCCCATCAAACCCTTCCAGTGTTTTCCATTGGTCATGGGAGCCAAATCCATCGCTGGTGGAGTTCAGAATGCTCCTTTATTATAAGTGAACTATAAATCGCAGCAACTACAACTCCCAAATTACAACTCCCAATTCTCCCCCAAGCCCACTAGCATTCACATTTGGGTGTATTGGGTATTAGTGCCCAGTTTGGTCCAGTGAATGAAAATGCATCCTGCATATCAGATATTTACATTATGATTTATAACAGTAGTAAAATGACTGTTACGAAGTAGCAACGAAAACAATATTATGGTTGGGGGTCACCACATCATGAGGGACTGCATTAAGGGGTCACGACATTAGGAAGGTTGAGAACCACTGCTCTAGAACATGGCCATATAGGCCAGAAAAACCTACAACAACCCATTGGTTCTTTTGTTTTTAAGGTACTCATTATGCACAGAGCATTTATATATAGATAGATATAGATATGTCTGTCCTGGATGTGAAAGACCTATGGCCTAAGCACTAAATAAACTATCTCCCCTAGGACCCTGTGCATGCTTGAGCCAAGGCAGCTCAAGATGTGCACTCCTTCCTATGGGGCAGAGCTGGCTGGAGCATGCCCGCTTCTCTGGACCCCATTGGTCCTTGGGATCACATGTGGGGAGGAGCCAGAGAGGAAAGAGATCCCTCCCCAGCATCCTTGCCTTTTTGCATCCAGGAGGGAGCGGCTGGCTGGCTGGGAAAAGGAAGGGAACTGTGCGCCATGGCCAGCCTTACAGTCTACAGCACCTCAGTCACTGGCTCCAGGGAGGTAAAAAGGAACTGTGGGCTTCCATCTCAGGAGGGTTGAGCTTGCCTTTCTTTCCAGATGTGGCTGCTTTTGCTCTAGGAAGAGGCCCCCAAGTCTGGGGAAGAAGAGGCGGAGGGATGGCTCTTCTTCCCTGCCATTCCTCTGCCTCCTCCTCCTCCTCCTCCTCCTTCTTCCCCAGGGTTTCCTGGCCTCCTTCCCATAAGGTGTGGCTCTTTCCCCTTTCCCTGCTCATTGTTTTCCTTTTTGCAAAGAGCCAGCACAGCTACCCTCTGAGTTGCTCTCTGCTTCCTCTCTCTCTCCTTTCATTGATTCCTTTTTGGTTTCTCCTTTTCCTGCAGATCAAGTCCCAGCAAAGCGAAGTCACCAGGATCCTGGACGGGAAGAACATCAAGTACAACCTGGTGGACATCTCCCAGGACAACGCCTTGCGGGAAGAGATGCGGGCCAAGTCGGGCGACCCCAAAGCCATCCCGCCCCAGATCTTCAACGGGGACAGCTACTGCGGGGTGAGTGAGTTCTTGGGGTGGGCCTCCTTTCCTGCAAATGACCCCCATCCCAGTTGAACGAGCTGCACCCCAAGAGTGTTTAGACAGCCCTTTAGTGGAGGAAACTAAGGTGGAGTAATAAGAAACACCATAATGTTTATGGACAGGAACAAAGTGCAATATTGGCGTGATGCCACAAGAATGTGAATGCATATTATCATTGTTTTATCCTGTTTTATACTTCTCATCGATGTTTCTCAACCTGGGAGTCGGGACCCCTGGGGTGGGTTACGAAGGAATGTCAGAAGGGTCACCAAACACAGTATTTCCTGTTGGTCATGGGGGTTTTGTGTCCCAAGTTTCGCCCAATTCTTTCAATGATGGGGTTCAGAATGCTCTTTGTTAGTGAACTATAAATCTCAACAACTACAACTCCCAAATGTCAAGGTTTATTTTCCCCAAACTCCACCAATGTTCACATTTGGGCATATTGAGTATTCATGCCAAGTCTCGTCCAGATCCGTCATTGTTTGAGTCCACAGTGCTCTCTGGATGTAGGTGAACTACAACTCCCAAACTCAAGGTCAATGCCCACCAAACACTTCCAGTATTTTCTGTTGGTCATGGGAGTTCTGTGTGCCAAGTTTGGTTCAATTCCATCGTTGGTGGAGTTCAGAATGCTCTTTGATTGTAGGTGAACTACAAATCCCAGCAACTACAACTCCCAAATGACAAAATCCAGTGTTTTCTGTTGGTCATGGGAGTTCTGTGTGCCAAGTTTGGTTCAATTCCATCGTTGGTGGAGTTCAGAATGCTTTTTGATTGAAGGTGAACTACAAATCCCAGCAACTACAACTCCCAAATGACAAAATCCAGTGTTTTCTGTTGGTCATGGGAGTTCTGTATGCCAAGTTTGGTTCAATTCCATCGTTGGTGGAGTTCAGAATGCTTTTTGATTGAAGGTGAACTACAAATCCCAGCAACTACAACTCCCAAATGACAAAATCCAGTGTTTTCTGTTGGTCATGGGAGTTCTGTATGCCAAGTTTGGTTCAATTCCATCGTTGGTGGAGTTCAGAATGCTTTTTGATTGAAGGTGAACTACAAATCCCAGCAACTACAACTCCCAAATGACAAAATCCAGTGTTTTCTGTTGGTCATGGGAGTTCTGTATGCCAAGTTTGGTTCAATTCCATCGTTGGTGGAGTTCAGAATGCTCTTTGATTGTAGGTGAATTATAAATCCCAGCAACTACAACTCCCAAATTACTTCATAACTGTAATTGTGCTACTGTTATGAATCGTAATGTAAATATTTGATATATAGTATGTATTTTCATTCACTGGACCAAATTTGGCACAAATACTGATACGTCCAAATTTAAATACTGGTGGGGTTGGGGGGGGTTGATTTTGTCATTTGGGAGTTGTAGATGCTGGGATTTATAGTTCACCTACAATCAAAGAGCATTCTGAACTCCACCAACGATGTAATTGAACCAAACTTGGCACACAGAACTCCCACGAGCAACAGAAAATACTGGAAGGCTTTGGTGGGCATTGACCTTGAGTTTTGGAGTTGTAGTTCACCTATATCAAGAAAGCACTGTGGAGTCAAACAATGATAGATCTGGACCAAACTTGGCAGGAATGTTCAATAAGCCCAAATGTGAACACTGGTGGAGTCTGGGGAAAATAGACTGCGATATTTGGGATTTGTAGTTGCTGGGATTTATAGTTCACCTACAATCAAAGAGCATTCTGAACTCTACCAACAATTCAATTGAACCAAACTTGGCACACAAAACTCCCATGACCAACAGAAAATACTGGAAGGGTTCGGTGGGCATTGACCTTGAATTTTGGAGTTGTAGTTCACCTATATCAAGAGAGCACTGTGGAGTCAAACAATGATAGATCTGGACCAAACTTGGCACGAATATTCAATATGCCCAAATGTGAACACTGGTGGAGTTTGGGGAAAATGGACTGCAATATTTGGGATTTGTAGTTGCTGGGATTGGAGTTCACCTACAATTAAGGAGCATTCTGAACTCCACCAGTGATAGAATTGGGCCAAACTTGGCACACAGAAACCCCATGACCAACAGAAAATACTGTTTTTTTCTGATGATCTTTGGAGACCCCTCTGACACCCCCCCGCAAACCCCCCAGGGGTCCCAACCTCCTGATTGAGAAACGGACTCTGGGAAGAATGTTGCCCACCCATAACATTGAACGTAGGCCTGGTTTGCACAAATTAGCTTGAATCTTTTTGTTAGTCCCGACTAAAGTGGAGACATTGAATGCATTGATCTGTGTGTTGACTCAGCATTCCGAAATGGATCATTGGCTCTCCTCCAGCTGAGCTGAGCCAAGATTCAGAGCACTGCCTGTCTCCAAAGGGTGGGCATTCCTTGAGCATGGGCATATCAAGTCTGCCAGAAAGTGTCAGTAGATCTCTAGGAATTGTGATGCTAGATTTTTTTTATTAAGAGTCAGTGGGCCAAAGCTAGTGTCATCCTGAGGAGAGTGAGTAGGCCGAAGCCTGTTAGAGTCAGTGGGCCAAAGCTAGTGTCATCCTGAGGAGAGTGAGTAGGCCGAAGCCTGTTAGAGTCAGTGGGCCAAAGCTAGTGTCATCCTGGGGAGAGTGAGTAGGCCAAAGCCTGTTAGAGTCAGTGGGCCAAAGCTAGTGTCATCCTGAGGAGAGTGAGTAGGCCAAAGCCTGTTAGAGTCAGTGGCCCAAAGCTAGTGTCATCCTGAGGAGAGTGAGTAGGCCAAAGCCTGTTAGAGTCAGTGGGCCAAAGCTAGTGTCATCCTGAGGAGAGTGAGTAGGCCAAAGCCTGTTAGAGTCAGTGGGCCAAAGCTAGTGTCGTCCTGAGGAGAGTGAGTAGGCCAAAGCCTGTTAGAGTCAGTGGGCCAAAGCTAGTGTCATCCTGAGGAGAGTGAGTAGGCCAAAGCCTGTTAGAGTCAGTGGGCCAAAGCTAGTGTCATCCTGAGGAGAGTGAGTAGGCCAAAGCCTGTTAGAGTCAGTGGGCCAAAGCTAGTGTCATCCTGAGGAGAGTGAGTAGGCCAAAGCCTGTTAGAGTCAGTGGGCCAAAGCTAGTGTCATCCTGAGGAGAGTGAGTAGGAAAGCCTGTTAAGAGTCAGTGGGCCAAAGCTAGTGTCATCCTGAGGAGAGTGAGTAGGCCAAAGCCCGTTAAGTCAGTGGGCTAAAGCTAGTGTCATCCTGAGGAGAGTGAGTAGGCCAAAGCCCGTTAAGAGTTAGTGGGCCAAAGCTAGTGTCATCCTGAGGAGAGTGAGTAGGCCAAAGCCTGTTAGAGTCAGTGGGCTAAAGCTAGTGTCATCCTGAGGAGAGTGAGTAGGCCAAAGCCTGTTAGAGTCAGTGGGCCAAAGCTAGTGTCATCCTGAGGAGAGTGGGTAGGCCAAAGCCTGTTAAGAGTCAGTGGGCCAAAGCTAGTATCATCCTGAGGAGAGTGAGTAGGCCAAAGCCTGTTAAGAGTCAGTGGGCCAAAGCTAGTGTCATCCTGAGGAGAGTGAGTAGGCCAAAGCCTGTTAGAGTCAGTGGGCTAAAGCTAGTGTCATCCTGAGGAGAGTGAGTAGGCCAAAGCCTGTTAAGAGTCAGTGGGCCAAAGCTAGTGTCATCCTGAGGAGAGTGAGTAGGCCAAAGCCTGTTAGAGTCAGTGGGCCAAAGCTAGTGTCGTCCTGAGGAGAGTGAGTAGGCCGAAGCCTGTTAGAGTCAGTGGGCCAAAGCTAGTGTCATCCTGAGGAGAGTGAGTAGGCCAAAGCCTGTTAAGAGTCAGTGGGCCAAAGCTAGTGTCATCCTGAGGAGAGGAGTAGGCCAAAGCCTGTTAAGAGTCAGTGGGCCAAAGCTAGTGTCATCCTGAGGAGAGTGAGTAGGCCAAAGCCTGTTAGAGACAGTGGGCCAAAGCTAGTGTCATCCTGAGGAGAGTGAGTAGGCCAAAGCCTGTTAGAGTCAGTGGGCCAAAGCTAGTGTCATCCTGAGGAGAGTGAGTAGGCCAAAGCCTGTTAGAGTCAGTGGGCCAAAGCTAGTGTCATCCTGAGGAGAGTGAGTAGGCCAAAGCCTGTTAGAGTCAGTGGGCCAAAGCTAGTGTCATCCTGAGGAGAGTGAGTAGGCCAAAGCCTGTTAGAGTCAGTGGGCCAAAGCTAGTGTCATCCTGAGGAGAGTGAGTAGGCCAAAGCCTGTTAAGAGTCAGTGGGCCAAAGCTAGTGTCATCCTGAGGAGAGTGAGTAGGCCAAAGCCTGTTAGAGTCAGTGGGCCAAAGCTAGTGTCATCCTGAGGAGAGTGAGTAGGCCAAAGCCTGTTAGAGTCAGTGGGCCAAAGCTAGTGTCATCCTGAGGAGAGTGAGTAGGCCAAAGCCTGTTAGAGTCAGTGGGCCAAAGCTAGTGTCATCCTGAGGAGAGTGAGTAGGCCAAAGCCTGTTAGAGTCAGTGGGCTAAAGCTAGTGTCGTCCAGAGGAGTCTGAGGTAAACCTCTGTGTGAGAGAAGCCTCGTGAGTGAAGCCTCAGTGTGAAGGTTGAGCTTTTTGTGTTATTTAATTATTTACGACATTTATATGACGCCCTTTTCACCCTGAAGGGGACTCAGAGCGGCTTACAAGATATATATATATATATATACATATAATGTATTATATTATTAGCATAGTACAGTATCAGTATTATATATTACTATATTGTACTATACCATTATATTGTAATATTATTAGTAATATTACATCTATATAAATAAAAATGTAATGTTTGTTTGTGGGATTAACAGAACTCAAAAACCACTGGACGAATTGGCACCAAATTTGGACACAATACACTTAACAACCCAATGTATGTCCTTCACTCAAAAAAATTGTTTTTGTCATTTGGGAGTTTTAGTTGCTGGGATTTATAGTTCACCTACAATCACAGAGCATTCTGAACCCCACCAATGATGGAATTGAACCAAACTTGGCACACAGTTCTCCCATGACCAACAGAAAATACTGGAAGGGTTTGGTGGGCAGTGTCCTTTAGTTTTGGAGTTGTAGTTCACCTACATCCTGAGATCAATGTGGACTCAAACAATGATGGATCTGGTCGAAACTCTACACGAATACTCAATATGTCCAAATGTGAACACTGGTAGAGTTTGGGGAAAATAGAATCTTGACATTTGGGAGTTGTAGTTGCTGGGATTTATAGTTCATCTACAATCACAGAGCATTCTGAATCCCACCAACGATAGAATTGGGCCAAACCTCCCACACAGAACCGCCATGTGGGACACAGCAACACGTGGCAGGGGACGGCTAGTGTAATATAAAATATATGGAAGCCTTCTTGTAAATAGTGCAACCATATAATTTTGCTATAAGGAAAAGCCTCCTATGGAGGAGATAACATTGGTCTGTGTGGTTTTGTTCTTTTTATCACTTTTGGCGACTGGTGCTGGGGCACGCTACTGCTAATAAGTTACTTTTATGGGGAGAGTCTTTTATAATAAGCTCACTTGCCCAACACTCAACTACATAGAGTACTATTATTTCTACTGCTAGAAAATATAGGAATTTACTGCTAATTATTCAGATATCTACCAAAAATCCAGGTCTATCTTTTGTGCATTCCTATTACACTATATTATGAATAGTTTTTTCAAAGGCTGCATCACAGGGCTGAAGATAAAAGGAGTCTGCTGCTTTGTAAGGATTGTTCTGAAATCTAGGCAGGCCTGTTGAACTTCTGTTATTTTTGCCTCTTTAAAACATATGATATGCTGCGGTTTAGGGACTGCCAGGGAAGGTGGGTGGATGAGCTTGGTGCTTTAGTGACTCACTGGCGGAAAGGAAATGGAAAAGGACACTGGCCAGTCCCCTTTGAGAGGGAAATAATGCCAGAACTAAGCTGAACCACCCAATTGAGTCAGTGCCAGGTATAAGACTAGTTCTAATGGTGGAAAGGCAGCCAGCAAAGCCAGCTGATCTAATTGGTTATTGTTACCTGTATCATCAGATACACAAGATTCCTCAGAAAGTTGAGAGAAGCCTCTAAAACGGGGCTTGTTTTTGTGACACATATTTTGTGATACGTTCCAGATTGAAATGCATTAGAAAGCTGACTTCTTTTTCATTACACACCGGGGAAAGAAGGTGCAGCTTTGCCTCTTCCTCGGGTGACAACATGGGCACAACCCTGTGGGTGATACAATGGCATAAAACCTCCTGTGATGCTCCTCAATCTGGGTCCTTCAACCTGGTGCCCACTCTGGATTACATATTCTCTCATCTTTACCCATGGAGCCCCCGCTGGGGCAATGTGTTAAACCCTTGTGCCGGCAGGACTGAAGACCGGTTCAAATCCAGGGAGAGCACAGATGAGCTCTCTCTGTCAGCTCTATTATTATATTATTTTATTCTATTTACTATTATTATATTCACTATTTCACTCTATTATTATTACATTTATTATTTTACTCTATTTATTATTATTATTATTATTATTATTATTATTATTATTATTACATTAATTAGAATGTAATAATAATGGGTTATACCCTTGTGCCGGCAGGACTGAAGACTGACAGGTTGGAGGTTCAAATCTGGGGAGAGCGCAGATGAACTCTCTCTGTCAGCTCTATTATTATATTATTTTATTCTATTTACTATTATTCACTATTTCACTCTATTATTATTACATTTATTATTTTACTCTATTTATTATTATTATTATTACATTTATTAGAATGTAATAATAATGGGTTAAACCCTTGTGCCAGTAGGACTGAAGACCGATAGGTRGGAGGTTCAAATCCAGGGAGAGCATGGATGAGCTCCCTCTGTCAGCTCCAGCTCTCCATGCGGGGACAGGAGAGAAGCCTCCCACAAYGATGGTAAAACATCAGAACATGGCAACYTCCTTGCAGATGGCCAATTCTCTCCCACCAGAAGCGACTTGCAGCTCTTGAGACACAAAAAATAATTGCCCATGCTAGCTGGGTCTTATAGAAGTTGTATTCCAAAATAGCTGGTGGACATCATTGAGAGAGGTTGTTCCATGCTGCTGTTTATACTGCGTCATCTCAAATCCCAGTTGGTGCAGCTATGGAGAGCTTGATCCCCATTCCTAGGGAAAGCAAGCAACTAAAAATTGGAAATGACTGCACTCACTTCTCTTTGGGCGATGGATAGGGCCTGGGAGGTCCTGTATTGTGTTTTGAGATAAACCATTATCATGGAGGCATTCAGCAGTGGAAAAAAATATTGGGGGGGGGGGGTTCATTTTTTTCCCCTGGAAGTGTGTGTTCATGTTTATATCCAACCAAAACAGCAAATTATTTGCTTCTTGCTCCAAGCATTGCTCTTCTTTGCTCCAATCATTACTCATTCTTTGGAGGCTTTTAAGCAGAGGCTGGATGGTTATCTGTCAGGGGTGCTTTGAATGAAATTTTCCTGCTTCTTGGCAAAATGGGGTTGGACAAGGTCTCTTCCAACTTAATGATTCTGTGATTCTTCAAACAACAGACTGAATCTTTTGTTACATTTTTTTTTGTTTCTGACTGTGCCTTTGTGTCTTTTCTTGCTTCTCCACCTGGCAGGACTACGAACTCTTTGTGGAAGCCGTGGAACAGAACACCCTGAAGGAATTCCTGAAGTTAGCCTGAGCATGCCTCTTCCCAACCCTGTCCTTTCCCCTTTTCTCTCCCAACTCCATTTTGTCCCAACGTATTCCAAATGGATCATCTCATAGCCTCCCACTCCCCAAATCATTGGCAATCCTTTCCTAACCCTCTGTGACCAAACCCCTCCACAGCTGCCTCTGAATTTTGTTGCCTGCGTTATTCTCTATTCTTAAGACTTTTCACCTTCCTCTGGAGGCAGCTGGGCCTTGTGCCTCTGTGGACAGAGAAATCTTCCAGTCAAGGACACCAATCGGAAAGCAGAGCTTTCCCCAACTTTTTTTCCAAAATCCTTTCTGAAGCTGAACCTGCCCTTGAGAAGAAAAGGGTGGGCTGCAGCTGCTTCCTGTCTTATCACCAATTGCCCTCAATGCGCAAAGGCTGGTTTCTGCACTTCCTTTGTCATTCTAACCCAGGAAACAAGAGTAGCAGGTGGCTGCCATAATTTTTGTGAAATCGCTACGCAAAAGCTCTACACAAGGCTGTGTATCAAGGTTTCATTTTTGGCCAGTGAGATGGGGTGGGCTTGTGTGCATATCTGTCTTAAAAATGACTTCAGCGCAGCTCAGGCTCTCTCAGGAAAGCCATTTTCCAAAGGCTGGGAAGAGCAGATCATATATTCCACGAGTGCGTTTCCTCCCCGCAGTGGGAAAACCCACCTGCCCTTGGATGGGTAAGGAGTGAGGCACACATGATCCGAATCTGCTCTCGCATCAGCTCTCTCATGCTTTCCTTGGCAGAGCCGGCCTTTTGCAAACATGGACCAAGTGCATTTTGTTTGTGTTTTTTTGTTTTGTTTTGTTCTTGCTCAAAGCAATTTGTAAACAGCCATCTCCTCTGAGATGCTATTAAATGTTGCTAAAAACCTCTGTTATGGCTTTGTGTCTGTATGTGTGTCTTAGAAGATCAACATGGATTGCCCTTTTCGTATTGATTCAGAGGCCCATTTTCCAGCTCTCTTTGCAGGCGCATTGATTGTTCTGTTCAACAAAGAAATGAGTGCTGTGGCTCTACAAGGAAAGGCTTGAGCACAGTTGGTATCTAAAATGGCATCCTTGCAACCATCTGGAAGGAACTGATATTTTTAAAGAAGCACGAACTTTGAAAGCCATAACCACCAAAGCTCCAAATGCTCTTTGTTTCTAAACTTATTGGGCCTTAGGCCTAATTGTTGCTTATCCTCTTAACAGCAAAAAAGGACCGACTTATTGAGTGGATTTGCCTTTTGGTAAAAACTATGTCTGGCATAAGGGGCAAGTGGCTAAAATTTGAAAATGACTAGTTACATAGGGCCTGAATTCCATATGTACATTTTGTTTAACTAGCAGAGAGAGTGTTCCCTTTCTGTCCTAAATAGTAAATTGATCTAAGAGTTTAGCTGGTATACAAGTTTCCTTTTCCCAAAAAAAACCCTCCTAAAATCTGCCATATTGTGATAAAAGTTTGATCTAGTGGCAGCAACTTTTTATACACTGTTGAAAAGTGCCATTTTGTTTATATAAAGGCATGTGGAAAATGAGGATGGGGCATAAAGAAGCTCTATGGCGGATATGGCTGCACCTGCAAAAGCCCACTGGCAACTGTCTTTTTAAATTTTGTTCCTCATCTTCCAAAGGCTGGAAACAGAGATCTAAACCTGACACTGCCTTCCAAAAAGAGACAGACATTTTGCAGTTTTCACTGGCACAGCATGGCCACTCCATTCAGTTTGGGGAAAGCACTGAGAGCTTCCTTCTGCACTCAAGAGGAATATCAATGTAAAGCAGGTATGGGCAAACCCAGGCCTGGGGGCCGGATGAGGCCCCTTGGGCTCTTCACAGGCTTTCCTTTCACCATCCTATCCTCCCTTCCTCCTTCCCTCCCTCTTTCCCCTTCCCTTCCACCCTTTCATCCTTCTTTCTTTCCTTCCTCGCTCCTTCCCTCCCTTTCTTCCCTCCCTCTCCCTCCCTCCATTCCATTCCTTCCTCCCTTTCGTTCGTTCCTCCCTTTCATCCTTCCTTCCTTCCCTTCCCTTCCCTTCCCTTCCACCCTTTTGTCCCTCCCTCCTTCCTTCCTTTTCTCTCCTCTCTCCCTCCCCTCCTTTCTCCCTCTATTCCTTTCCACCCCTTTATCCTTCCACCCTTCCCTCCCTTTTGTCCTTCCTTCCTTCTCACTTTTCTTCCTCCTTACCTCCCTTCCATCCCTCTTTCGCCTTCCATCCTCCCCTTCCACCCTTTGATCCTTCCTTCCTTCCCTCTCTTCCTCCTTCTTCCTTTCTTCCCTCTTTACTTTATCCTTCCCTCCCTTCTTTCCACCTATCATTTTCTTCCTTTCTTCTCTTTTTCCTTCCTTCCCTTCCTTCCCTTTTGTCTCTCCTTCCTCCTCCTTCTTTCTCTCCTATTCCCTACTACCCTTCCACCCTTCCCTTCCTTTTGTCTTTCCTTCCTACTCTCTCACCCCTTTCTCCTAACCCCCCTCCCTTCCATCCTCCCCTCCCCCTTTCGTCCTTCTTCTCTTCCTCCTTCTCCCTTCCTTCCCTTTTGTTTTTCTTCCTCTTTCTTTTCCTTTATCCTCCCTTCCTTCCTTCTACCCTTCTCCTTCCTCCCTTCCTTCCCCTTCACCCTTCCTTACCTTTTGTCTTTCCTTCCTTCCCTCTTCTCCTCCTCTCTTTCCCCTTCCTCTTCCCTTTCCTTCTTTCCATCACCAGGAGGCCAGTTCTCCTAGCAGGCAGTGCTGGCATGCGGCCCCCAAGTTAGAACGTTTGCCCATGCCTGATGTAAGGTCTTGATCAAGACTCTATTTTTTTGCCTTGGAAGAAGTACGGTTTGGGGTGAACACAGTCTTTACGGGCGGCTTCATTTCAATCTAGCTATGTCAGTTCTTGCCACAGAGGTGCACAGAGCTTTGGGGAGCTGGTTTGGATTATTTCACCCTACAAACAACGCACAAGCAGAGGAGGAAGTCACGAAATATAACTGAGAATGGATTTTAAAATTCAGGGAAAAGAATCTGGCAGAACAGTACAACTTTCCAAATGTAGCAGGGAGGGATGCTGGGAAGCTGAACCATGAAACAGAAGATCCTGCAAGTGGAAAGGCAGTATTGCAGAGAAAAACGTAGGCCAGCAGATTATTTCACACCACTAAATGTGGTGATGATGGCAGGGGTGTGGTTTAATAATTATCAAACTTCCCTGCCAGCTAGCTTTCTACGAGAAAGTAATTCTAGGTGAGGGTGCGGGTGATCAAAACGCCCATTCTACCCCAATACCGTGCATTTCCATATACTCCTATGTTGGGAAAGCTTGGAGGGAACAAGGTATGGGGGTCGGAACCTAAAATGGAGCTGAATGTCTGACTACCCTCTTTCTAAAACCACTAAACATTTCTTTGGGGCGGGGGGGGGGGGGGAAGAGAGCAAAAACAATCACAAAGACAGATAAGTAAATGATGGACCAAGTTGGCACAAAACTGCTCCTGCAGGGGAAAAAACAAACCGGAGGGACATTGCAAGGAGCACTGACTATAATCAAATTATCAACAATTAGGCAAGTTTAACCAAAGGCCACAGAAGGAGATACTATCCGAAGTGGTTGTGCTGATTATCTGACTACCCTCTTTTTAAAACCACTAAACATCTCTTGTGGGGAGGGGGGGGGGGGGGAGAGAGAGCAAAAACAATCACAAAGACAAGTAAATGACAGACCACGTTGGCACAAAACTGCTCCTGCAGGGGAAAAAACAAACTGGAGGGACATTGCTAATACAGGTGTACTTTTCTTGGACCGAGTTCCTAATGTTTCTGAAACGTTTTATGTACGCTAGTATTAATTCTTTGGAATATGGAATTACTTCCTCGATGTGGAAAGCGGGACCTGGAGTTACTCCATGCAGGTGAGGTGACCAAGGGAGGGAGGAATCTATGCCTCCAATTGCATCAACTTAATTTCCTTTCCCATCTTTACAGAACCCACCCACCCCAATTTCTACATGGGATCTGCCCTAGTTGTATCTGGCAATAGATTATGCTCTGCCGTTTGCTATCTCCAAGTAGGAGAAGAAGGCACACTACTTCCCAGCTGAATGCCAGCCAAGCCTGATGAACTATCATCCACTGTGAACCATTACAGTTGTTGCCCAGATGGTTTGGCAGAAGGCATCTTTCTCCGCAGCAGAAGGGAGGCATTGGGGACCAGCCCACATTCCTCCAGGGTCATAGAGTTGTCAGTGTAGACCCGTTTGGGGAAAGTGCTTAGGATTTCGTACGGTTCCGACTCTGATCCCCTAGAAAATAAAGCAGAAGGATGCTTGCAATACCAGATGACTTAAATATTTACGCATTTTAAACATTTGCTACCAAGGTGTAGACCAGTGTTTCTCAACCTTCCTAATGTCGTGACCCCTTTATACAGTTCCTCATGTTGTGACCCCCTACCATAAAAATTACTTTCATTGTTACTTCATAACTAATTTTGCTACTGTTATGTATCGTAATGTAACTATCTGATATGCAGGATGTATTTTCATTCACTGGCACAAATACTCAATATGCCCAAATTTGAATACTGGTGGGGTTGGGGGGGAGGGATTGGTTTTGCCATTTGAGAGTTGTAGTTGCTGGGATTTATAGTTCATCTACAATCAAAGAGCATTCTGAATTCCACCTATGATGGAACTGAACCAATCTTGGCACATAGAACTCCCATGACCAACAGAAAATACTGGAAGGGCTTGGTGGGCATTGACTTTGAGTTTTGGAGTTGTAGTTCACCTACATCCAGAGAGCACTGTGGACTCAAACAATGATCTGGACCAAACTTGGAATGAATACTCAATATGCCCAAATGTTCGCACTGGCGGAGTTTGGGGGAAATAGGCCTTGACATTTGGGAGTTATAGTTGCTGGGCTTTATAGTTCACCTACAATCAAAGAGCATTCTGAAACCCACCACACAGAACCCAGATGACCAACAGAAAATACTGTGTTTTCTGATGGTCTTTGGCGACCCCTCTGACACCCTCTCGCGACCCCTACAGGGGTCCCAACTCCCAGGTTGAGAAATGCTGGTGTAGACTGTAAAGCTCCCAAGTTGAATTCAAATTCTAAAAGGAAACTTCTTCAGAAACCAAAGGCTTCAGAGCAGGCCTGGGCAAACTGGCTTTCCAGGTGTTTTGTACTTAAACTCCCACCATTCCCGACAGCCTCAGGACCCTTCCTTTCCCCCCTCAGCTACTTAAGCTGGGGAAATTGGAGGAATGGGAGGAGATATGGAATCACTAATTGAAGATTAATTGAGAGTGAAGAGAGGGGCAAGGAAGACAGTTCTATCTTGTCTCCTGTGTCATCAGTTGAGAGCCCCCCCTCCAGCGCCAACTGCTGCTCTGGGACCAGAGTGAAGAGAGGGACCAGAAAGACAGTTTCACCTTGTCTCCTGTGCTGTGCTTATAATGTAATGTAATGTAATGTAATGTAATGTAATGTAATGTAATGTAATGTAATGTAATGTAATGAGTTGTATATACATATAATATTGATAATATTGTAATACAATATAGTAATATATAATACTAATATTGTGCTATGGTACTACTTGTAAGCTACTCTAAATCCCCTTCGGGGTGAGAAGGGCAGCATATAAATGTCATAAATAAATACATAAACATATGCCTACAATTTGAAGGAGAACTGGTGCAAAATGATGTACCAGTGGCATTTAACTCCACAAAAAATGGCAAAATACTACCAAAATAATGCAAAACAAATGTTGGAAATGCAAAACCCAAGATGGCACATTCTTTCACATGTGGTGGACTTGCAGAAAAGCAAAAGTCTCTTGGAAAGAAATTCAAAAAACAGTCCAGAAAATACTTAAAGTGAAAATAAAACTCAAACCAAAATACTTCTTATTGGGAATGATTGATATGGATATGAATATGAACACAAATAAAGAGATATTGTTTAACTACCATACATACTGTTGTTGTTGTTGTTGTTGTTGTTGTTGTTGTTGTTGTTGTTGTTGTTATGGAACCTGTGCTTTTTAATACACAATACAGACTGCCTTGTTCCTCCCCGCTACTTGGAAATCTTACCCCAAAACAGTTTTGCTTTAATCTCTAGGCCTCAAATATATACCACACATCCTGCTTTACCAAGGACATCCACCTTCAGTTATTTAACATTCCCAATAATCAACTGGAAGAAATTCAGAAAAACAAAGAAATGCATTCATTTCCCCCTCTGATTCACCTAATAATAATAAAAAGAAATCTATTTGGAGAATCTGGGATTTAAGTTGCAAAAATGGGGGGGGGGGGATCTTTTCCAGTATTTATTTATTTACCATGTTTATGTATGTATGTATTTATTTATTGGGTTTACAGGTTGATAGTGATTCTTACCTGCTCCCATCAAGATGTCGCCTCAGGTCTCCAATGGTCTCGGTGAATGCCATTTTGATAACGTATATCTTCTCTCCGTCCTCCGACTTGATCCGAAGAGTTGAGACTTGAGTGTTGGGTTTTTCTTTTTTACCATCCTGTTCTAATCTAAAAGTCAAGAGTAGCAGATATGGTGGGGAGAAACTACTTCATTTTTGGAAAGAGACTGAGCTATGAGAAACCATGGTCAATTATGAACATTCAGAGGTTGTTAGGAGGTCCAGGGCTCTTCATATTCCTTTTAGAGATGGAACAGACCCGAGAATCAAGCTAGTGGGGAACATCCTGTCCTTTGCCCCAAGCATCACAATATCTTAAACTTGCCATGAAGGAATAATATTAAATCCACATATGACTTATGTGCATATATTTCTGCAGAGAAGTGAGTGGCGAGAGACTACTCATAGTGTACAGAATACATTTCTGACCATTGCATTCCAGACATTGGACCACACCACATCATAGAATCATAGAATGATTGAGTAGGATGAGACCTCGTGGGCCATCCAGCCCAACCCAATTCTGCCAAGAAGCAGGAAAATTTCCTTCAAAGCATCCTCAACAGATGGTCATTCAGCCTCTGTTTCAAAGCCTCCAAAGAAGGAGCCTCCACCACACTCCAGGGCAGAGAGTTCCACTGCTGAACAGCTCTCACAGTCACGAAGTTCTTCCTAATGTTCAGGTGGAATCTCCTTTCCTGTAGCTTGAAGCCATTGTTCTGTGTCCTAGTCTCCAGGGCAGCAGAAAAACAAGCCTGATCCCTCCTCCCTATGACTTCTCCTCAGACCAATCCAGCCAACAGCCAGGAATTATGGGAGTTCCTACTGAAAACATTTGAAAGTCCCAGTTTTGACATATATACCTTCCTTTCACACACTGACTGTGCTAAATGTTTTGCTGGCACAGCAGGACCACTCCACAACTCAGTGACCCCTGCAGAACTTGGAATTTAGCATGGGGATGTTTCCATGAGCAGAGCTAAACATAGAATCTTAGAGTTGGAAGAGACCACAAAGGCTATTCAGTCCAACCATATTCTGTCATGCAGGAAAAGCACAGTCAAAGCACCCCAGACAGATGGCCATCCAGCCTCTGTTTAACAGCATCCATCTCCATACTCCAGAGCAGAGAGTTCCACTGTTGAACAGCTCTTATGGTCAGGAAATTATTCCTAATGTTCAGGTGGAACCCCCTTTCCTGTCATTTGAATCCATGACTCTGAGTCCAGAGCAACAGAAAACAAGTCAACCCCCACTTCCTTATGTAAAAGGTAAAGGTTTCCCCTTGACATTAAGTCTACTTCTGTCCGATTCTGGGGGGTGGTGCTCATCTCCATTTCTAAGTCGAAGAGCTGGCATTATCCATAGATGCCTCCAAGGTTATGTGGCTGGCACGAGTGCATGAGTGCCGTTAACTTCTCGTCAAAGAGGTATTTATTTATTTATTTCGGGCACTTCTACCCCGCCTTCTCAACCCCCAAGGGGGGACTCAGGGCAGCTTACAACCGGCACAATTCGATGCCAACAATTCAACAGATAAATTGCATAACAGCAATAACCACAATAGTTAAAAACAATCAATTAAAACAATAACAATTAAAAGCCAATCTAGTGGCCAACGTTCACAGAGTTCTGATATCCGTAAGTCCATTCAGCATTACCATAGTCCTTTCCAATTTCTGGTCGTCATTATCTTGTCAGTCTGCCAGATTACCCAAAGGCCTGGTCCTATATCCATGTTATCAGCTTCCTTCTGAAGGAGAGGAGGGATGTTGCTGACCTAATTTCCCTGGGGAGTGAGTTCCACAGGCGAGGGGCCACCACTGAGAAGGTCCTGTCCCTTGTCCCCACCAGCCTCACTTGTGATAGAGGCGGGGCCGAGAGCAGGGCCTCCCCCGAAGATCTTAAACTCCGATATGGGACATAGGAGATACCTTCGGACAGGTACGCTGGGCCGGAGGTACCTATTGATCTACTCACATCTGCATGTTTTTGAACTGTTAGGTTGGCAGAAGCTGGGGCTAACAGCGGGAGTTCACCCTGCTCCCTGGATTCAAACTGCCGACCTTTTGGTCAGTAAGTTCAGCAGCTCAGCGGTTTAACCCATTGCGCCACCGGGGACTCTATTTCTTCCTTATGACATCCTTTCAAATATTTAGACATGGTTCTCAAGTATCATATCAACTTTCTCTTCTGCAGGCTAAACATGCCCAGCTCTTTAAGCCGCTCCTCATGCTTTCCAGACCTTCGATCATTTTAGTTGCCCAAAAACATGATATCCTTACATCATGAGAAGAGATCTCCTTACATCACTAGAAAAAGAGATGATCCTTGGTAAAGTGGAGGGTAGTTGTAAAAGAGGGACATGACAGATGGGATCAACTTAATCATGAATGCTCGAGTGTGTAATATCAGAGCATGACTATTGCAGTAAGGTGGCTTGGAGGTCACTCAATCATAGGGTCACCATACGTTGAAGTCAATTTGAAGACAGTGAACAAGAACTTGAAGCTGGTAGAGGCTGACATCCTCAAGGCTTTGTGGGTTAAAGCCTTTTGGTTTCTTACCTCTTCTTCATCGCGACAAGGCTGGGGGTCTCCACCAGAACCACTTCATGGTTTCCATCTGGGCCCTGGGACCAAAAAGGGAAATCCATGCCATGATCCAACTATCCTCCGGAAAATAACTTTAGATAATCCTAGACATTCCATCATACATTGATATACGATTCACAATGCTGGCTTTACTAATACTGCTTAGAATGGAAGAAGAGAAAGCTATTTGACCTATGGATTCCAAAAATGGCACCAGTTTTCCCTATCAGATCCAGTTTTTGAGATAAGGAATGTAAGTCAGTTGCCATCTGCTCATCCATAGAAAACCATGATAAGCATATCTAAGAAACTAGAGCTGATGCAGTCTATTCAATGCAATGTTACCTATAAAGCCCTAAAAAAAAAAAAAAAAAAAAAAAAAAAAAAACAAAAAAAAAAAAAAAATTTGAAGCTAGAAAGTTAAAGTGATGTATTGTTCTATGGCAGGGGTCCTCAAACTAAGGCCCGGGGGCTGGATACGGCCCTCCAAGGCCATTTACCTGGCCTTCGCTCAGGGTCAACCTAAGTCTGAAATGACTTGAAAGCACATAACAACAACAATCCTATCTCATCAGCCAAAAGCAGGCCCACACTTCCCATTGAAATACTAATAAGTTTATATTTGTTAAATTGTTCTTCATGTTAATTATTGTATTGTTTTAAAGTGTTTTTGCACTACAAATAAGATATGTGCAGTGTGCATAAGAATTCATTCACCTTTTTCAAATTATAATCCGGCCCTCCAACAGTTTGAAGGACTGTGACCTGGCCCTCTGTTTAAAAAGTTTGTAGACCCCTGCCCTATACAGACCATCTTGTGCACTGTAAAGCTGACACAATAAAAATATTGTTAAAAAAAGAATATTACTAAAATACAAATATAAAAGTATCTATCTACTTATCTACTTACTAAAATACAAATATAAAAGTATCTATCTACTTATCTACACAAACATTCACACACAGAGAGATTGAGAGATGTAAAACAAACTTTATTGATGTGTAGAAGATACACTACACATCAATAAAGTGCAAGATAATTTTTTTAAAAATATATTAGAGAGTCACCAAAGATTATCCCAAATGGCTGGATATTATGTTTGTTTACCTCTCCCTGATATCATACAAAAGCTGACTGGCACAACCTGGGGATCACAACCAGACACAGTGAAGACATCTGCCCTTGCGCTATGCTACTCTGCTGCTGAGTATGCAAGCCCAGTGTGGAACACATCTCACCACACTAAAACAGTGGATGTGGCTCTTAATGAGACATGCCGCATTATTACGGGGTGTCTGCGCCCTACACCACTGGAGAAATTACACTGTTTAGCTGGTATTGCACCACCTGACATCTACCAGGAAGTAGCAGCCAATAGTGAAAGGACCAAGGCAGTGACATCTCCAGCTCATCCCCTGTTTGGGTATCAGCCAGCACATCAACGACTTAAATCAAGAAATAGTTTTCTAAGATCTACAGAGACACTCGCTGGAACACCTCAGCAAGCGAGAGTCCAAAAGTGGCAGGCTCAAACCCAGAACCTCAATCAATGCCTGATACCAAATGAGAGACTCCCCCCTGGGCACACAGAAGACTGGGCAACTTGGAAGGCGCTGAACAGACTGCGCTCTGGCACCACGAGATGCAGAGCCAACCTCAAGAAATGGGGCTACAAAGTGGAATCCACGACATGCGAGTGTGGAGAAGAGCAAACTACAGACCACCTGCTGCAATGCAACCTGAGCCCTGCTACATGCACAATCGAGGACCTCCTTGCGGCAACACCAGAGGCACTCCAAGTGGCCAGATACTGGTCAAAGGACATTTAATCAACTACCAAGCTTGCAAACTCTGTGTTTTTTTAATCTGTTTGTTTGTTTTGTTCTGTTAGAAATGTAATACAATGGTCTGGTTGCCCCTGACACGATAAATAAATAAATAAATAAATAAATAAAATACCTCTCCCTGAGCGACAGTACAGCTTCAGATCGATTTGGATGGGTGGATTTAAAAAAGAAAAGAAAAATCCTACATGGGTATTAATTCTGAATGCTAATCTTTTATTCCTTTGGTGCAAGCTTGTAGAGAGCAAACGTTTCTGGGGAGACAGAGGGTACCAAGGACCACCAGACTTGCTGACCAGCAGAAATTACTGTGGCTCAACCCCATTTGAACAGGACCAGGGAGAAGACTCCATCCTACCTGCAGGGTTCTTTTAATCTCTCCCCGGACATCAATCACATGCCCATCTCGAATCACTGACTTTGGAAGCTTGTTCAAAAACTGCTCCATTGTGAGCTTGGGACCTGTCATAAAAACATGATATGAGGACAAGATGGAGTAGAGACAAGACTGACACCAGGATATGGTGCAGACCAGGGGTATCACATTGATTTTCATGGAGAGCCACATCAGCCTTATGGTTGCTTTAAAGGGCCATTGAATCCATGAACGGAGAATCCATGAATACAAAGGGTCAACTATATTTTTTACCTAATGGTTGGTGTTCTTTAGTTTCTACCTCATTTGGGTCTCTAGATGTTACTAAATGACAACTCTTATCACTTTGATTATCTGGCATGGGGATGATGGGATTTGCAGGCCAACAGCACTTGGGGCTCTGAGGTTGGGGAAATGTTAAAGGGCCTTTTAAAGTCAGATGTGCAGGGCTTGCGTCTAAATTCAAACCCCACTCTCCTGACTAAACAGAACAAGCTGCAACTTCCCAGAAGTTACTATATCCCACCTCCCATCAGCTCTAGCCATGATGCCTAATGATGGGAAATACATAAGTTGTAGTTCACCATCTGGAGGGCCACATAAAATTACATGGCAGGCCAGATTCGACCCAATGGGCCTTGAGTTTCATACATATGTAGATGGATGAAAATTTTGCAATTTGCGGCTGCAAAAGAGAGGACAGGGACTGCTCTAGCAAACTTTTGAATCTAGCTTTTGAATTGCACTTCAAAAAGTTAGGACTAGGTTCTCACCATCTTTATTCAGCAGTTGTTGTTGTTGTTGTTGTTGTTGTTATTATTATTATTATTATTATTATTATTATTATTATTATCCCACTTTTTCTCTCCAAAAAAGAAACTCAAAGCGACTTATAGAAAACCAGTGCAATACAATTTTAAATCACGCAAAATACAAACATTAAAATAGAATTAAGTATTAATGGTATTTAAAATAAGGAGTTAAGAACCCTTAAAACGAATTAAAAACCTATTCATAATAATAATATTTATTTATTTATTTATTTATTAACTTTATTTGTACCCCGCTATCATCTCCCCAAGGGACTCGGTGCGGCTTACATGAGGCTGAGCCCGAACACAACAATACAAGCAATAAAACAACAATAAAGCAATTAAAAACACATAGACAATAAGATAAACAACATTATCAATAAAACAACACACAATTAAAAACAGAGGGGAGGCCAAATGTAAAGTTAAAATTGGAAATATGCTGGGACATGAATGGAAGGTGATACTGGTGTTTGTGAAAGGGCATACGAGCAGACTTAGAAAATGTAAAGTGCTTTGGAGGACAAAGTGCTATGGAATCATTATTCCAGGAAGGCACACTGGAACAGCCACGTCTTCAAGTTCCTCCTGAAGACTGTCAAAGTTGGAGCCTGTCTGATGTCTTTAGGGAGTGAGTTCCAGAGTCGAGGGGCCACCACCGAAAAGGCCCTCTCTCTTGTCCCCACCAATCGCGCCTGCGATGCTGGTGGGATCGAGAGCAGGGCCTCCCCGGATGATCGAAGAGATCGTATGGCTTCGTATACAGAGATACAGTCACGCAGGTAGGCGGATCCCAAACCGTTCAGGGCTTTGTAGGTAAGAACCTGCACCTTGAATTTGTCTGGTAGATGAAAGGCAGCCAGTGGAGCTCCTTAAACAGGAGGGATGACCTCTCTCTGTAAGGAGCCCCGGTTAACAACCTGGCTGCTGCCCGTTGGATCATCTAAAATTTCCGGGCTGTTTTCAAGGGCAGCCCCACGTAGAGTGCATTGCAGTAATCCAGTCTAGAGGTGACTAAGGCGTGGACCACCTTGGCCAGATACGCCTAATAATAATAATAATAATAATAATAATAATAATAATAATAATAATAATAATAACAACAACAAGGGGACTCAGGGTGGATTACAGAACACATATATGGCAAATGTTCAATGCTGTTATTCAATTAACAAGGACAGACAATACATAAACACAGGTAAAGGCTTTCCAATCTTTTTCCATTCCCGGCATCTGGAGGCTGTGCTTGACTCCGGCCAAGAAGCTTTTGTCATCCGTAGACGCTCTCCCGATTGAATTGCTAGCATATCCTTATGGATGCCTTTTATTACTTCCCCGCTTTAAAGCGGTACCTATTCAGCTACTCACATTTCTGTTTTTGATCTGCTAAGTGAGCACAAGCTGGGGCCTCACCCAGACCCAGGCTTGCACTGCCAACCTTTGATCGGCAGGATTTTCTGCAGCTTAGTGATTTAACCCGTTATGTTAACCTTAAAGGAATAGTAGGTAAAGGTAAAGGTTTTCCCCTGACATTAAGTCCAGTTGTGTCTGACTCTGTGGCTTGGTGCTCATCTCCATTTGTAAGCCGAAGAGCCGCCGTTGTCCATAGACGCCTCCAAGATCATGTGGCTGGCTTGATTGCATAGGGCACCGTTACCTTCCCACCAAAGTTGTACCTATTAGTCTTGTTTTCGAACTGCTAGGTTGGCAGAAGCTGGAACTAACTGTGGGAGCTCACATCACTCCCTGGATTCGAACCTGCAACCTTTCAGTCAGAAAGTTCAGCAGCTCAGTGGTTTAACCCAATGCGCCACCGGGAATAGTATGTATGTATGTATGTATGTATGTATGCCTACATTTGAAAGCACTTACAGCCAACATCTTACCAGGGATCTCTTTGGTCTCCTTTAATCCATTTGCTTTTGAGTGGCCAGTGGCTTGGCCCACGCCAGGAAAGCTCTCTGGCAGCTTCTTCTCCTGAAATAAGACATCTCTCTTGTCAGTGACCTGTTGAAATAAACCATAGAAGCAACTCAGCGCCTTGCCTGATCCTGGACTCCAGATGTCAGTGTCAAGCTAGCCAACAGTTTTCTTTATAAGGCAGCTCAGGTGAAAGTGACAAATAACGGATGAGTCGGTCCTCACTTCCTTCGCTGGAAACCCAAAGGGAAATGACAAACACAAATGGCTGTCCAGGGGATGAAAGTGCATGATGTTGCAAATTGAAAGAAAACCATCAAGGTTGAGAGAGGCACATACAGTTACTACTTCTCTTGTCTAGTTCAGTTTGTGCTCACAACATTGAATGATTAGAAGACTCCTTTTAGATTGTATCTACAGTGTCAAATAATGTAGTTTGAATTGCATTATATGGTCAGTGTAGGACAGTGTTTCTCAACCTCCCCAATGCCGTGACCCCTTAATACAGTTCCTCATGTTATGGTGACCCCCAACCCTAAAATTATTTTAGTTGCTACTTCATAACTGTAATTTTGACACTGTTACGAATCGTAATGTAAATATCTGATATGCAGGATGTTTTTTCATTCATTGGACCAAATTTGGCACAAATACCCGATATGCCCAAATTTGAATACTGGTGGGGTTGGAAGTGGATTGATTTTGTCCTTTGGGAGTTGTAGTTGCTGGGATTTATAGTTCACCTACAATCAAAGAGCATTCTGAACTCCACCAATAATGAAGTTGAACCAAACTTGGCACACAGAACTCATGTGACCAATAGAAAATACTGGAAGGGTTTGGTGGACACTGACCTTGAGTTTTGGAGTTGTAGTTCACCTACATGCAGAGGGCACTGTAGACTCAAACAATGATGGATCTAGACCAAACTTGAAACAAATACTCAATATGCCCAAATGTGATCACTGGTGGTGTTTGGGGAAAATAGACCTTGGCATTTAGGAGTTGTAGTTTCTGGGATTTATAGTTCACCTACAATCAAAGAGCATTCTGCACCCCACCAACAATAGAATTGGGCCAAACTTCCCACACAGAACACCCACAACCAACGGAAATGCTGGACCACTCTAACAACTACCATGTCAGGCGACACAGAGAAGCCATTGAAATCCACAAGCATATGGACAATTTCAAAAGAAAGGAAGAAACCAGGAAAATGAACAAAATCTGGCTACCAATACTAAAAAAACTCTAAAATTATAACAGTAAATAAAAAACAAAACTCAAACGCAGAGGAACTGCAGACAAGAAACCATCAGGAACACCTAATCGCATCTCAACAAAGGAATTTCCCGACAGTAACAAGCCACACCTAAAAACTGACAGGCTATCAAATGCTAATCAAGGTGGACAATTGAAACATTCACACCTAGCTCCAACAGACAAGATTTCTTTCTCCCACCCTGGACCTTCCACAGATATATAAACCGATTTTCCTAGTTTCCAACAAACCTCACAACCTCTGAGGATGCTTGCCGCAGATGCAGGCGAAACGTCAGGAGAGAATGCTTCTAGAACATGGCCATACAGCCCGAAAAACCTACATCAACCCAGAAAATACTGTGTTTTCTGATGGTCTTTGGCGACCCCTCTGACACCCCCTCGCAACACCCCCCAGGGTTGAGAAACTGTCAGGAGGGGCCATATAATGCAATTCAATGCAGTTCAAACTGCATTATATGGAACAATTCAAACTGCATTATTTGGCAGCGTAGATCCAGCCTTAGAGGGCAAGGTGACCATATTAACGTACTAATTTGGGGAAAGGCAAGCCAAAAAAGTAATATAGTATTTCCAATTCCTGCTCAGAAGCTTTGGACAACACAATCTTCAGTCAGCGAAATAGTTGATGTGCATGTTTCCTATTTGCATCTTCTGTCTCACTGCATTTAATTTTAGCAGCAGAGGAAGAACACAAACTCTTCATCCAATTAACTAGTTGTTCAAATCTTTTCCCCCTGTAAAGCAGAAATGCAGCTCTAGATGGCCAACTGGTCTCATAAGAAATTACTGTATGGAGATAGATTTGGGGCGTTTATATTTTTCAGTTTGATATTGGACACATCATCTAAAAAACACCTTCCAAACATTTTGGACTGCAGCTCAGGTTTGTCAATGGTAAGGGTGGCTAAGGCCACCAGAAGAAAATGTCCCAAATATCTGAAGCAGAACTTTTCAAACTGTGCGTTGTGACACATTCGTGTGTCGCACAAACATAACAAGAAACCTCTGATGTGAAATGTGAAATAAGCAATAAATCATATATTTTAAAAAAAATACACAAATGAAGTGTTTTCATGAGATATCTTGTGTCATCTTCATCCTTCTCCTTAAGCTTACTGCAATGTTTTTTGTAATTTGGCTTCTAATATTACACACACCAAATAAGCTTGGAAACCTCAGCTCGAAATCAATCGTCCTCTGGATTTTAAACTCATGCTGTATTTCAATCTTTGTTCTGAGTGTTTTAATATTTGTATTTCACAGAAATATGTTTTAATATGTGTGTTTCAGATAATATTTTATGATGATGTGTTTTTAGCAACGTTGTGCCCCACCTTGAGGAGAAGCAGCTAAGTTGTAAGTGTGTAGAACTTTAAAGTGCAAAGGTTTAAACTGTATAACATGCCCATACTTGCTTACTTTGTAAATGTACAGTTGGATTGATTGGTTATTTATACCTGTCAATCAATGTTGTTTGCACCAGTTATATTGCTTCCTCAGCCTAATTGCTTGGCTTCACCTCTTCCTGGAGGAGGGCAGAGCTTTTCCTTTTCCATTCTACCATCAAATCAGATGTGAGAAAGAGACTTGGCTCTAAAGTCCTTCATTAAGTTACCTCTCATCACCAATTCTAAGGTTTTTACTCTTGGAACTCATACTTCATGCCCAGATTGCCCTGGACAACGTTGAGGAGACCCAAGTGCCTTCAAACCAGTCCTGTGGCACCAGAAGAAGGCTTTGTGCTTTCAAATATAGGCCATTTGGATTGGGGCTGTGAATGTTCAGGCATTTACAGCCGCTGAGAAAGAGTGAACCTGGAAAAGCTTCTCAGCTACGAAATCTCCTTGGACCCAAGACAACTAGAGACTGTAATGTATATTTCCTTTACCCCCTTTGAAACTTCCAGCTTATTGCCTTAAAGGGATAACTCTTTGTGAACAATAAAACCTATTTTGAGTTATCTACAGTGTTTTGGTCCTTTGGAGTTCCAGTTCTCTAAAGGAAGGCAAGAAGCAATCCCCTGGGAGAAAGATGTCGCGTCTATGTCTCTTTCACTAAGAGTTATAGCCCCCAGGTGCGACGGCACATTCAAATTTGGGTGTATTGGGTATTTGTGGCAAATTTGGTCCAGTGAATGAAAACACATCCTGCATATCAGATATTTACATTACGATTCATAACAGTAGCAAAATTAGAGTTATAAAGTAGCAATGAAAATATTTTTATGGTTGGGGTCACCACAACATGTATTAAGGTTGTCACAGCATTAGGAAGGTTGAGAAACACTGTATTACAGGATCTTGGTCCATAAGAACAGACATACAACACATTTTGAATGCACTCAATTCATATCACAGATGAGTCACTTAAACAAATGCCAAGATATCAATTTTTCCACTTCCCCTCCTTTCGTGTAACAACATTCCCCAAAAAAGTGTTTATCAATGAAGGCAATGAGATTTTTTTAAAAAAAATATAGCCACTTACAAAGTACTCTTCCTAGTAATGAGATTTAGAGGTAATCAAGCAATAGCAACAGAAAATATAAAAGCAGGGGAAGAAACCAAGGAGGAAACAGGCTCAGTTCCTGAAACAGAAAGTAGTCTCAGTTCCTCTGTTTGAATGTTTTGTTCTCACAGCAGAAAATAACCCATCTCTTAAAGAGTAATGAGTTCTCAGTTCTTTAAATACTGTTCAACCCTCAAGGCACATTTTAATAAGGAAATCCCACTTCTGCAAACTAAGATTATATATATATATCCCCAAATAGACACTGTAGGGAAGTGGAAGATGCAAACCTGAAATGGAACGCCGTTTGGGTAGCGCCGCTGCAGCTCAGAAGGGAAGTAGCCATCCATGATATCTCGCAGGCACCGCTGAAAGCATAAGGCAAGGAATACATGTCAGATTTCCTTCTGTGATGCTTTATACAGACCTCTTGATTATTTCAACCAATACTACAGAGCCAAATCACTCAAACCACTCAGTCTAATGCAGGCATGGGCCAACTTTGGCCCTTTAGGTGTTTTGGACTTCAATTCTCACTATTCCTAACAGCCTCAGGCCTCTTCCTTTTACCCATCAGCCACTCAGTGGGAGTTGAAGTCCAAAACACCTGGAGGGCTGAAGTTTGCCCAGGCCAGGTCTAATGCGATACAGTGATCCAAGTGGACAACACCAGGACCACGTGATTGTACACAATAAAAGAGAAGGCATCATTGGGTGCTGAACACTGAATTCCAAAATTCCAAAAATTCTATAGCAGTGGTTCTCAACCTTCCTAATGCTCTGACCCCTTAATACACTTCCTCATGTTGTGGTGACCCTCAAGCATAAAATTATTTTAGTTGCTAATTCATAACTGTAATTTACTATTGTTATTAATCATAAAGTAAATATCTGAGATGCAGGATGCATTTTCATTCACTGGACCAAATTTGGCACAAATACCGAATACACCCAAATGGGGTTGAGGGGGGTTGATTTTGTCATTTGGGAGTTGTAGTTGCTGGGATTTATAGTTCACCTACAATCAAAGAGCATTCTGTACTCCACCAATGATGGAATTGAACCAAACTTGACACACAGAATTCCCATGACTAACGGAAAATACTGGAAAGTTTTGGTGGGCATTAACCTTGAGTTTTGGAGTTGTAGTTCATCTACATCCAGAGAGCACTGTAGACTCAAACAATGATGGATATGGGCCAAACCTGGCACGAATACTCAACATGCTCAAATGTGAACATTGGTGGAGTTTGGGGAAAATAGACCTTGATATTTGGCAGTTGTAGCTACTGGGATTTATAGTTTACCTACAATCAAAGAGCATTCTGAACCCCACCAACGATATAATTGGGCCAAACTTCCCACACAGAACCCTCATGACCAACAGAAAACACTGTTTTTTCTGATGGTCTTTGGCGACCCCCTTTGACACCACCTTGTGACCCCCACAGGGGTCCCGACCCCCAGGTTGAGAAACACTGTTTTAGAGATTACTGATTGAATTTTATACTCTAGTTTAGAAAAGCATCTCAAAGAGAAATTAAGTGATACTATTATCAGAAATATTAAAAATTAACTAGGTATTTTTAATTACAAAAATGTGAGTCAAGCACTGAAAGGGTCAAATGGATGCAATAACTCAGCAAAAGCCGTCGTTCTATATAAGCAGGTGTGCCTGTAGCCTCTGTGTTAGTTTGCCTCAGTGGGAGAAAGGTCTTTGTCTGTGAAAGAAGGCCTCACAGTGTGAGGTAGGCCTTAGTGTCTGAGAGAAGCCTGTGTGAGAGAACGTCTCAGTGGAAGAATAGGTCTCAGTGGTAGTAGGCCTCACTGTGGGAGAAAGGCCTCAGGGTGTGAGGTAAACCTCAGTATGAGAGGGCCTCGTGTGTGAAGCTCCAGTGTGAAGATTGAACTTTATTTGTGACATGAAAACCAAGTTGAATACTTGGACAGATGCTTGCCTGGGGAACTCTGTACATGCTGCGTTGAATTCCACTGAAAAAGTGGAATAGATATATAATAAACACACGCTAGACTGTATAAATGGAATATAGTATGTGTGTGTGCATTCTATATAAGCAGGTGTGCCTGTAGCTTACTAGGCCTCTGTGTTAGTTTGCCTCATGAGAAAGGTCTTAGTCTGTGAAAGAAGGCCTCACGGTGTGAGGTAGGCCTTAGTGTCTGAGAGAAGCCTGTGTGAGAGAACGTCTCAGTGGAAGAATAGGTCTCAGTGGTAGTAGGCCTCACTGTGGGAGAAAGGCCTCAGGGTGTGAGGTAAACCTCAGTATGAGAAGACCTCGTGTGTGAAGCTCCAGTGTGAAGATTGAAATTTATTTGTGACATGAAAACCAAGTTGAATACTTGGACAGATGCTTGCCTGGGGAGCTCTGCACCGGGATTGTGGCGCAGCTGGCTGAGTGTCAGCTGCATTAAGATCACTCTGACCAAAAAGGTTATGAGTTTGAAGCCAGCCCGGGTTGGATTGGGTTTCCAACCAATTGTGTGTAGCCTGTTGTTGACCTTTGCAACCCGAAAGACAGTTGCATCTGTCAAGTAGGAAAATAAGGTACCACCTTAAAGTGTGGGGAGGCTAAATTAACTGATTTATGAGGTCATAAAGAAGACTCCAGCAAAGCATTCCAGCGGGAAGCATGCGGGGAATGCGGAAGTGCTTCATCAGCGTCACAGATGGACGATGAAAGCGACAGCTCCCCTGGCGGCCAGAAAAAGTTAAATAGCCTCTGTCTATGTCTGTATATGTTTGTATGTCAAAAATTGGCATTGAATGTTTGCCATATATGCGTACACTGAGTCCCCTGCGGGGTGAGAAGGGCGGAATATAAAAGCTATAAATAAATAAATAATAATGCTGCCTTGAATTCCACTGAAAAAGTGGAATAGATATATAATAAACTCATGCCAGACTAAATGGAATATAGTATGTATATGTGTGTGTGTGTATGTATGTATACATAGAAAGCTTAAGGGCAAAATCCATTCTTCCCCTGAACAAGGAGCCTGTAGTTATTGGGATGAAACTTTTCTCCTACAAGAGAACTTTAGAACTTCTTTATGGAGAAGGAGCCTATATACCACAAGTTTACTTAATTAATTTTACCTTGCTATCAGGCCTGTAGCCGGGGTGGGGTGGGGGTGGTGTGGTGTTAGGGGTTGAACCCCCCCCCCCCCGAAGTTTTTCAGGTTAAAAAACCAACTATTTTTTGGCTATTTTTGGCCTTACTAACCTTGCATACCTTGTATCTTATACCTTTTACAGAGCAACAAGGGTCTTTGGACTGTATTAAAAATGTTGTTGTTGTTGTTGTTGTGTTATCAAACTAATCTTCATGATTTGCTAAAAAAAAGTTTCAACCCCCCCCCCCCCCCCCCCCGGAATTTTTTTTCTGGCTACGGCCCTGCTTGCTATGAAGCTAAATAGCTCAAGAACAACAATGATTGCTGTTTCCATTTTTCAGCCCTTGGTTATCTGACTCATTCACCATAAGGGAAATTCTGAAAAGTGCATGCCAGTGCAAGCTATATTCACGGAAGATGAATAATAGCATTCAAAATTCCAGAATGTACATGTGGCGAAGAATCTATATAACTTGTTCATTGTGTAGGAGGAGCAGCAAGAAGCACTCATAAGGCGGCCTGGTGGAGTGGGCTCCAGAGGCAAAGCATAGAACTCTGGAATGTAGTATGAAAACCCTCTGAAACCCAGCAGCCCTTCTTGCTTTGCATGACTTCCTCTTCAATTTGTAAATCATTTATGGAGTAATGGGGACAGTAAACAGGAGTATGGCAGTCCTCCTATCATATTCAAACACAGAACAATCCAAAGCACATTTGGGAGCGAGCGCGTGTGTGTGTCAGAAATATTAAAAATTAACTAGGTATTTTTAATTACAAAGGGTTAAATTGATGATTCAGCAAAAGCTGTAGTTCTTATATAAGCAGGTGTGCCTGTAGCTTAGTAGCCGTCAGTCTGAGGTAAACCTCAGTGGGAGAAAGTTCTCAGTCTGTGAGAGAACGCCTTGCAGTGTGAGGTAGGCTTTAGTCTGTGAGAGAATCCTTTGTGTGAGGTAGACCTTAGTCTATGTGAAGGCCAAGTATGAGAAGGCCTGGTCTGAGAAGCTTTGGTGAAAGAAGCCCCAGGTTGAAGGCCTTTTGTGTAAAGCTGTGTGTAAAGCTACTATGTGACACTCCTCTGTAATTTCAGTGTGAGAGGATTCTATGTGAGAGCAAAGCTGTTTATCTGCATGAAGAAGAAGCCCAGCATGGAAGCAAAGAAGGAAGTATAAATAACTTTGTGTTATGGAAACCTTGTTCTTCTGAGGGCTGAGAAGGCCAATATACAAATATAGTAAAATAAATAAATAAATAGTGCAACCATATTATTTTACTACAAAGATAAGACTCCTATGGAAGAGATAACATTGGTTTATGTATTTTTCTTCGTCACTTTTGGCTACTGGTGCTGGGTCACGCTGCTACTAATAAGTTACTCTGTTGCACATTTATGAGGAAGGTCTTTTGATAATAAGCCCACTCGCCCAACTAGTGGAAGGGAATGAGAACAAGAAGAGTGGATTATTATTCTAGCCAAAAGGCCACAAGGATAAGGTGTATTCAACTCTCCCCTACTCCCTAGGTTACTTCATTGGCTTTCCTCTCAGTATCAGAACTCTGTGAGCTCAAAAAGTGCCTAGAGAATGAGGTTTATGAGGCAGGAAGCCACAAACACAGGGCAGGGTTATGCACTCCTCCCACATGTTCTCATTTTACTTTTAAAACCAGGTCCCAGCAATTCTCTTTCTGCAAGTTTCTTGATAGATTTTAAAAGCACACAAAAATGCAATTTCTATATTTTATTTGCACCTGAATAGCTTTGCTAGTTTTCTTGTGCCCTTAAAATAAATAGAAGTAGTACCCAGCCAAGGGGTAGGGAATTCCTTGTGAGCTTATAGTGCAGCGTTTCTAAACCTGGGGGTCGGGACCCCTGGGGGGGTCGTGAGGGGGTTTCAGAGGGGTCGCCAAAGACCATCAGAAAACACAGTATTTTCTGTTGGTCATGGGGGTTCTGTGTGGGAGGTTTGGCCCAATTCTATCATTGGTGGGGTTCAGAATGTTCTTTGATTGTAGGCGAACTATAAATCTCAGCAACTACAATTTCCAAATATCAAGGCTGATTTTCCTCAAACTTCATCTGTGTTCACATTTGGGCATATTGAGTATTCATGCTGGGTTTGGTCCAGATCCATCATTGTTTGAGACCACAGTGCTCTCTGGATGTGGTGAACTACAACTCCCAAACTTAAGGTCAATGCCCACAAACCGTTCCAGTATTTTCTGCTGGTCACGTGAGTTCTGAGAACCAAGTTTGGTTCAATTCCATCATTGGTGGAGTTCAGAATACTCTTTGATTGTAGGTGAACTATAAATCCCAGCAACTATAACTCCCAAATGACAAAATAAATTTCCCCAACCCCACCAGTATTCAGATTTGGGCGTATTGAGTATTTGTGTCAAATTTGGTTCAGTGAATGAAAATACATCCTGCATATCAGATATTTACATCACAACAGTAGCAAAGTTGCAGTTACAAAGTAGCAACAATAATAATTTTATGGTTGGTGGTCACCACAACAGGAGGAACTGTATTAGGGGGTCGTGACATTAAGAAGGTTGAGAACCACTGTTATAGTGGATCCCCCACAAGCCATAACTAATGACATTCAAAGGCCACTGCTGAAGGTACAACTGTCACTGTAGTTGCCATCAAAACTTGGTGGTAACTATAGCAGATCTTTATTGGGGTACAAGGGCATCATAGACCTGAACGGGTACAAAAACAGCATAGACCTGAAGAGACGCAGCAGAGACTGCTTCCATCTCTTCAGAAGAGAAAGACGAAAGTTGGGGTGTGCTACCACCAAATTTCAATAGGATAATCTTGGCATCAATTGCAAATGGGGGAAATAGTAACCACAAACAAAGCCACAAGTGGGGCACATGGAGCACACAAGCCATAGATTGTCAATTCCTGACATAATTCAACATATTTGTAAAGAATTTTAGCAATCATCATTGGAGACTTTTAAATAGAGGCTGGAGGGCCATCTGTGAGGGGTACTTTGATTGTGCTTTTCCTGCATGGCACGGGGTTAGACTGGATGACCACTGTGGTCTCTTCCAACTTTGTGATTTTATGACCCTCTGATCACACATTGGATGCTATAACGGAAAAAAGCTACTAATCTATCTATTTTGGGCCCTCACCTACTGTACATTCAGACACAATCGAATTGCACAGTCCACTTGGGAGAAAGTTCTAATCCAGTGGTTCTCAACCTGTGGGTTCCCAGGTGTTTTGGCCTACAACTCCCAGAAATCCCAGCCAGTTTACCAGCTGTTAAGATTTCTGGGAGTTGAAGGCCAAAACATCTGGGAAACCACAGATTGAGAACCACAGTTCTAATCCCTTTCTTTTAATCTAGGACTTTTTCATGCATTGCTGAGAAAGTGCAATTACAGCAGGATATAAACACTTTTAGGTGGGCTTAGTGTGCAAAATATTGTCACTCCTGTAGTTATGCTTGAAATGTCATTGGATTATCTATTTTCATTGATTGCAAAACCTGTCAAGGAATCAAATATCACTGTCATTCCACCATGCTTTGCTGTGCAGTCCCAATATTGCAAAGCAAAGAAAGGCCTTGTGATTGCAAAGCTGTGCAGCTGCACAACTGCAGCAAAACCGGGGGGGGGGGGTATTTTAACAAGTGCACATCTTATGGGTAGGGCAGGGCTATTCGGAAGAGTGATTGTGAGAATTTGCATCAATAATGTGCCCGCATAGTGCAATTGCAATAAGGTGCGAAAGTGATTGTTCCAATAATAGTATGTATGTTTTCTTAAACAACACTATTGTCATGATACCACGGCCTGGTAGTATAAAATTCCCAGTAGAAGCTATTTATGAGGGGCGTTCATTAAAGATTTCCTGACCCACTTCTATTTATCACGGGATGCTGAAACTGCACATGTGTAATGATATAAGTCTCTATAGGTTACGTGCCAATTTACAACTCAGAACTAAGAACAGTCTTGATTTGACAGGTGCTGAAGTGGTGTGAGGTTTTAGAATGGACCGAGTGGAATACAGAGCAGTCCTCAAGTTCCTTTACTCGAAAAGCCGCACACCAAAGGAGACATTTGATGAGATGAAAAAGGTTTGTGGTGATGATTTCCATCATACGATGGAGTCAAGAACTGGCATCGTCAATTCAAATGTGGTTGGACTTCGGTGCAAACAGCTCCAATTCCAGGGCAACCCCACTCTGCTATTGATATCAGCAACTAGAGGTTGCCATTTTGGAAAATTGCCATGTAACCATTCGCCATCTAGCCCAAAATGTCAAGATGAGTGTGGGGTCTGTGGAAAAAATAATCCAAGACTACCTTCACATGCATAAGGTATCCGCTCGCTGGGTCCCCCGGCTGCTCACAACTTTCCAGAAGAAGGAACGAGTCAAATGCTCTCAAGCTGTATTGACAATGATGTGCCATGGAAACTAGGAGGACTTTTTAAAATGACTGAACACACAGGATGAAAGCTGGGTCCATCACTCTGATCCTGAGACTAAAGTCCAGTCGATGCAATTGAAGCATCATGATTCATCGCCTCCAAAGAGGGCATGTGCCCAACTCTTAGCAAGCAAGGTCACGCTCACAGTATTTTTTGGGACCAGCATGGAGTAGTATTGATGGATTTCCTAGCAAAGGGTACCATGATCACCAGGGCATACTATGCCTCACTGCTGCGGAAATTGCAAGAGGCCATCAAAACCAAGAGACAATGTGGAATGCTCACCAAAGATGTCCGCCTTCTGCAAGACAATGCACCAGTTCACAACTCACCTGTTGCCCAAATGGAAGCATGCTCGTGTGGTTTTGAAATTCTACGGCATCCCCCTTATTTATTTATTCTTCCCCTGGTGGAACATCTGCTCTGTTAAAACTATTTTTAATGTGTTTTATTGCATTTATATGTTTTATAATTTGATATGTTATATTTATTATTTGTTGTTGTACTTTTTGCATTTATGTTTTAATTGTTTTATAATTTGATATGTTATATTTATTATTTGTTGTATGATGCGGCATTGAATGTTGCCATAATCTGTAAGCCGCTCTGAGTCCCCTTCGGGGTTGAGAAGAGTGGGGTATAAATACAGTAAATAAGTTATTCACTCGACCTCGCACCATTGGACTTCCACCTCTTTCCAACAAGGAAGTTATTTTTTGAGGGCAAGCATTTTTCAGATGATGGGACTCTGATTTCCAAAGTCACAACATGGCTTTTAGAGCAACCTGACTTCTACAAGCAAGGTGTTTATAGTTGCTTAAAAAGATGGGAGAAGTGGCACTGATGAAGAGAAGGACTCATAACTGTGCCAAGTTTCATTGCTCTCAGACCACAAAAAGTGGGTCAGGAAATCTTTAATGAACACCCCTTGTATCTACTCCTTCTGACAGCATCCCCACATCACCCCTTTGCCAATTACTGCCCCGAAGAGACAGAAATGGAACATGGTGTGCTTCAGCTTTGAACTTCCTTTCATCCATGAACTGTTGGACAGCATATTTTGCTTCTTTGTTATTCTGTTCAATCCCTTAACTATTCAAAGGCAAACCATTGGATACAATTTCCAGAATCAACCAGTCAGCATAGCTACTGTTATGCTGAGTAGGAGCATCTGGAAGTTGTAGTCCAAAAAGGGAACCTTTCTGAGATGGTTTTGATCCCTGCAACTCAATATTCAGCCGCAATACATTTCATTTGACCTAACTGTTGAGGAGCCTACAGAGATGATCAAATTCTGACTCTCCTACCCAGCATACCTTTGCACCTCAGATTACATAGGTACTTGGCTTTGAATTAAATGACAATTTTCTATTCTGTTTTGCCTATTTTTCATCCCCCCAACCCCATACTGAAGCATCTTGCAAACATATGCATTTAAACACTACTATTATTTGCCTTGTTGTTTTGAGCAACATCACTGCAAAATGGAAAACTGCTGCAGGGACCAATGATTTAGCACAAAAGTCAGTCAACTGGCAATTTCCCTTGAGCTCTGTCTTTCAGGAAAGATTGTATCTCTGATCAACATGAAACAATGCAGTTCAACAGAAACCTGGCTTTTCTAATTAGGATTGTTAGTATGCAATTTGGATCTCGAATCTGATTTCTTACAAGAAACTTGCAAAACGCCAAACTGGACTATTTTCTTACCATAAAATAGACAATTTGTAACATCAGGACTTCCAAAAAAGGTCTCCCTTCACATATTTACTGACAGGGATGCCTACCCCCATTAATTCAGTGTTTCTGAGCTCATATCCATACCTGTGTGGAAGGCTCCTCATATGACCGGAAAGGTCCGTTGAACATGACAATCCCGTTTTGATAGAAGGTAAGGGGGATTGTGTCCAGCTGCCTCAGCCTAGCACCACCAGCCGTGTGTTGAACTTCAGACATGCCCTCTCCGGCCAATATATTTAAGTCTTTCAGGTTTTCAAAAATCAAATCCAAATTGATTGGGGTTCCCGAATAGATGTTATCACCTACAGCAAAGAAACAAGGCATTACTAAAAGTAAGCAAATGGCTGAGGTAAGAAATCCTCAAATTCTGTTATTTAACTACAACTTTTTCCCCTCATATCCAAAGATTACAAATACCAGGATTCAGTAGAAGTGTGTTACGGCAATTGGTGTCAAACTGTATTCTTTCTGCCCTGAAGCTGCACCGTAAGGTCATAGAAGACCAGGGCTTCTTAAACGTTTTCAGCTTGTGACCCGTTTTTGTCCAGGAAATGTTTATAGGACCCCAGATATATCCATATAAAAATGTAAATGTTCATTTGTTCAAAACCTTACAGCTCCCACAATTTTTCACTGAATGCTTTGAAATTTTGACACAACGTAGCATTTGAATAGGCGCATGTTTTTACATACCTACTATTGTATAGATTTCACACCTGTGACAGGTAAAAATATGTTTTTTTCAAAAACAGTGCCATCTGCTGGACGTCAAAGCAACACACGCTATACGACGTATTTTATGATTCTATTCCAATGTTTCTGAATACATTGCTAAGTTGAATCTTCATATATTTCAATTCAGTAACATTTTGATTTGGAATTGAGATGTGCCGTTAATCACAGCATTCATTTCATGAGTATAGCTTATTGTCCTTCTTTGCTTCGGCACTGCTTGCTCTGTCTTGAAGGGGGCGGGATTGCGTGGGAACTGGCCTCGGGAGCACGTCTTCGCTTTCACCTTCGCCTTCCCCCCTCAATGCTGCATCTCTGCCTCAGTCCGAAGTTGTGCCCAAGAGGGAGCACACCTCGGCCACTCACCCATTCAGCCTGGTCTCTTTCAGCAGGTAAGGCAGGCCTTGACTCTTGAGCACACCACACCCCCCTCTGTTGGGTTTCCCTAACCTTTTAAAAAAATAATCTTTATTAAGTGTTCACAAAGTATAAAAGTAACATTTTAAAAACCATGAGTATAAAAGAAAATAAGGTGGCCCCATTTCTTAATATTGGCTCTGCATCTCGTGGTGCCAGAGTGCAGTCTGTTCAGCATCTTCCAAGTCACCCAGTCTTCTGTGTGCCCAGGAGGGAGTTTCTTATGCGGTATCAGCCACTGATTGAGGTTCCAGGTTTTAGTCTGCCCCTTTGGACTCTTGCTTGCTTAGGTGTTCCTGCAAGTATCTCTCGACATTAGGAAGCTGTTTCTTGATTTAAGACGTTGGTATGCTGGCTGATATCCGAACAGAGGGCCGGGGATGTCAATGCCTTGGTCTTTTCATTATTGGCTGCTACTTCTCGATGGATACCAGCTAAACAGTATAATTTGTCCAATGGTGTAAGGCATAGACAACCTGTGATAATGCGGCACATCTCATTAAGAACCACATCCACTGTTTTAACATGGAGACATGTATTCCACACTGGGCATGTGTACTCAGCAGCAGAGTAGCAAAGCGCAAGGTCTTCACTGTGTCTGATTGTGGTCCCCAGGTTGTGCCACTCAGCTTTCAAATGATAGTATTTTTAGCACCCACTTTTTTCTTGATATTCAAGCAGTGTTTCTTGTAAGTCAGAGCACAGTCCAGAATAACTCCCAAGTATTTGGGTGTGCTGCAATGCTCCAGTGGGATTCCTTCCCAGGAAATCATCAGAGCTCAAGATGTTTGTCTGTTCTTAAGATGAAAAGCACACATGTGCATTTTAGATGGTTAGGAATCAGCTGGTTTTCCCTGTAATAGGCAGTAAGAGCACCTAAAGCTTCAGAGAGCTTCTGTTCAACCATTTCGAAACTTCCTGCTTTGTTGGAAATCCTCCCAACAAAGGATTTCCCTAGGCAGTAACAAGTCAGGCCTTGAAACTGCAAGGCCATTAAAGGCTAATCAAGGTGACAAATTGCAACATTCATACTTGCCTCAAGCAGACAAGAGTTCATTCTCCTATCCTGGACATTCCACAGATATATAAACCCAATTTCCTAGTTTCCAACAGGCCTCACAACCTCTGAGGATGCCTGCCATAGATGTGGGCAAAATGTCAGGAGAGAATGCTTCTGGAACATAGCCAGACAGCCCGAAAAATGCACAGCAACCCAATAGGAATATAAGGGTTAAGAATTAAGATTCCAATAAAATTATTAAATCGATTTCAACACATTTACGTTAAGATGGGAAGAGATTTACATAACTGCCCCGGAAGCGGAGTTCCACCATGATATATAACCAATGAAAGACTGTGCTTCTATATCACTTGACTATGAAATCTTCATGTACCTCTTTCCATTATTTCCCATAAAACTCTTGGTTATTTTTATAGAGCATTTTATGAAGTTTTGTGAGGAAATTACTATTCTTCAAGGAATTCACAATCTAATTTCCATCAGACCTCACAACCTCTGAGGATGCCTGCCATAGATGAAGGTGAAATGTCAGGAGAGAAAGCTTCTGGAACATGGCCATACAGCCCAGAAAACTCACAACAACCCAGTAAATTTCAATCTTAGAATGACTGCAAGCAGAGAAGAGAATACAAAGAGACTGAAGCAAACTCTATGAATGATGCATCTAAATTAGGATAGTTATTCGCTCCACCCAACCTGGTTTCCAGATACTTTGTTTCCGTGGGTGAACCCTTTCTTCAATTAGTGAGTCCAGTTCATCAGGCGAATCTGTTCCTTCTCCAACCCAGATCAGCCCATAGTCATTCAGAAACCTCTGCAGAGAGAAATGGAAGTAATTTACAAAATATGGGAAGGGAAAAAGTATGAAATGGGGGTGCTTAAGATTCTGAAAAGGGGATACAACAAAATTATGTGAAGAGACCAACCCAGACAACAGAGCAAGGAGCTGAACATAGGGTGGGAAAGGAAATACTGGACTTGAGACTCTGGCCCCATCTATATTGCCATGATAATGCAGATTCAACTGAATGAAACAGTTGAACAAAAAGCTTAGGTAGGTAGGTAGGTAGGTAGGTAGGTAGGTAGGTAGAAAGGGAGGATTCTAGCCCAGTGTTTCCCAACCTGGGGGTCAGGACCCCTGGGAGGGGCCATGTGGGGGTTTCAGAGAGCCTGCCAAAGACCATCAGATACACATATTTCTAAGGAACCCCTTTGGCAGAGAAGAGTGAAGATCTCTTTGCCTGTCCTTCTCCTTCTTTCGGGAAACAGACAGCAAACCAAAAGCCCTCCTCCGCTGTGATTGGCTGGCCTCTCAGCAGGCCTCTCAGACAAGGGGACGGCTATTTCTGAGACTCCAAGTGGGGAGGGGAGAGCAGGCATGCTTGGCACATGACAGTGTGGTGTGCATGTGTGGATGAGGAGAGCGTGTAAGGTAGGAGGGAGGCTTGCACTAGTAAGTTCCTTCAAGGCATTGAAGTTTTGTGTGAGTAGTCTGTCCCTATTCTATCATTTGGTGGGGTTCAAAATGCTCTTGGATTGTAGGTGAACTATAAATCCCAGCAACTACGACTCCCAAATGTCAAGGTCTATTTTCCCCAAACTCCATCAGTGTTCACATTTGGACATATTGAGCATTATTGCCAAGTTTGGTCCAGATCTATCATTGTTTGAGTCCACAGTGATCTCTGGATGTAGATAAACTACAACTTCCAAAATCAAGATAAATGCCCACCAAACCCTTACAGTATTTTCTGTTTGTCATGGGAGTTCTGTGTGCCAAATTTGATTCAATTCCATCGTTGGTGGAGTTCAGAATGCTCTTTGATTGGAGGTGAACTATAAATCCCAGCAAGTGCAATTCCCAAATGACAAAATCAACCCCCCTCTGCCCAAGCCCACTAGTATTCAAATTTGGGTGTATCGAGTATTTGTGCCAAATTTGGTCCAGTGAATGAAAATGCATCCTGCATATCAGATATTTACATTACCGTTCATAACAGTAGCAAAATTACAGTTATGAAGTAGCAATGAAAATAATTTTATGGTTGGGGGTCACCACAACATAAGGAAGTGTATCAAGAGGTTGCGGAATTAGGAAGGTTGAGAAACACTGGTCTATTTATTATTATTTATTTACGACATTTATATGCTGCCCTTCTCACCCCGAAGGGGACTCAGAGTGGCTTACAAGTAAAAAGTAAATACAATATATTATATTATTACCATAGCACAATATTAATATTATATATTACATTGTACTATAACATTATACTGTAATATTATTAGTAATATTACATTTAATAGAATATATAATTAACTTATTATTATTATTATTTCGGGTATTTCTACCCTGTCCTTCTCAACCCTCTAAGGGGGACTCAGGGCGGAATTGTAGGCATACGTTTGATGCCTACAATTCAATATAATAAAATACATAGTAACAATAATTATAAACAGTTAAAACATTACATTAATACAATAAAATATTATAATATCATATTATTAGTATTATATTGTATTAAATTATAATATTATCAATATTATATGTATATACAATATATTATATTATATTATATTATATTATATTATATTATATTATATTATATTATATTATATTATAAGCACAGTGCAGGAGACAAGATGGAACTGCCTTCCTGGCCCCTCTCTTCATTCTGATCTCAGAGCAGCGGTTGGTGCTGGGGGGGGGGGGGGGGCTCCCAACTGATGACACTGGAGGCAAGATGGAACTGCCTTCATGGCCTCTCTCTTCATAGCCCCTTTCATCAATCTTACCTCCATCTCCCAAATCTGTTGTTGCAGCTGAAGGCATAACTCTTCCAATTCCTTGGTTCTATCTGATGCTAAAGTTTTCTCTAGTGGAAAAAAAGAAGAGATTTGAAGTTTCCCATATTACTTACATATCAAATTGGAAAAAGTGCAGACACAGTCTCTGTCTCAGAAGGGAAAAGAGAAAGATTGGATTTCACTGATGGAGTTTCAGCTCCCAGATTCATCTCCTCACAGAGGTCTAACAAACTGCAGCCATTACAGCCCTTCCAACAAGGACACCTCACCATTTACAGTAAGATTTCTGACACAACCACATGTTCACATCTGAAGAATGGCTTTCAGATATACATTTCCATCCCTAACAATTAGGCATGTGCGATCAATTAAAAAAATGGTTCAAAAGTACAAAACTGGGGGGGGGGGGGGGGGGTGTGCGCTGGCACTTTGTTTCTAAAGTGTTTCTAAAGTGTGACTGATGAAATGTTGTTACTATATCGAGACTAATGGATTTTTGTTACTATTTCGTTATTAGTAATTGCACATGCACATTAATGAAATAACTACTGTCATTAGTGATACTTCAGGGGTTTCTCTCTCCCTCCTTTTAAAGCTATCATGATGAAAGTTGCTACAGTGGTAGAACACATTCACCACTCTTAGCCCACCAAATTTCAGAAGATTTGTTTATTCACTAATTTTTAGGGGTCAAAGTTTTTATAAACATTTAAAAAAATATAAGAATCATCTCCTTGAATTTTCTATACAATGACACAAGATAACAGAGAATCATTCCCCCAATGTTCAGAAGTATTCATGGTACATCTACTGGGATTTTTAAAAAAGTTTTGACAAAAACATTTTTTCTCCAATATTATTAACAATTATCAATAACTTTTTGGTTTGGCAAGGGCTTGCTTGGCTTTAGGACCAGCTAATCTGCAATATTATTGGCAAGGCTGATTCAGGAACTATACACCAACACAGAAATGAGGGTCAGAGTTGGCAAAAATGGTTCGCTGACAGAAGCCATTTCTACAACAAGCAAAGTAAAATAGGGATGTATATTGGCTCCCACCCTTTTTAACATCTTTGTGAATGATTTAGTGCCATGTTTAGCCAAAACTGATTCTCCTTCACCAGCATTCAGGAACAGAAAGATTTTAATCCTGATGTATGCAGATGACCTAGTGCTCTTGTCCCTTTCTCAGCTGGGTCTTTAAAATCTCTTTTCATCACTCTAGAGAGAAAAAATTACTTAAAATTTGGTTTCTGCCTCCTGCAGAATTCTGGAGTTTATAGTTTAGTGAAGCTGTTAAAGGCTCCTCCCTAAACTACAAACCCCAGAATTCTGCAGGATACAGAAACTGGATTTTAAGTGGATTTTTTCTTTAATGTGATGAGGTCCTATAGGCTTTCGGTAAATATTGGCGAGAAGAATATCTACATAAATAAAAATGTAATGTTCTAGGTTCTTGTGGGTTTTTTCGGGCTATAGAGCCATGTTCTAGAGGCATTTCTCCTGACGTTTCGCCTGCATCTATGGCAAGCATCCTCAGAGGTAGTGAGGTCTGAGGATGCTTGCCATAGATGCAGGCAAAACTTCAGGAGAAATGCCTCTAGAACATGGCTCTATAGCCCGAAAAAACCCACAAGAACCTAGTGATTCCAGCCATGAAAGCCTTCGACAATACAATGTAATGTTCGTTTGTGAGATTAACATAACACAAAAGCCACTGGAAGAATTGACACCAAATTCGGACACAACACACCTATCAGGCCAACAAGTGACCATCACTCATGAAAACACTGAAAAACACAACAGAAGGGACTTAAAAAGCCCAAAAAGCAAAACGATGCTACAACGCATGTGGAAAAACAACTCCCCCTGGCAAACAAAACACACAATAGCATATCCACTCTCTCTTCCAGTCTACAGCTCCCTGTATCCCCTAGGTCCAGCCCTTTAGAAGAGCAGGATTATCCAAATGCACTGTTTCCAAACTGCAAGCTTTCATCTCCTTGGATTTCTTTGAGAGCATCCCAATCCCTGCATATTTCCAATTTCCTATTCCTGGATTGCAACTCCCAGCAATCCCCCAGGTAGGTAAGATAGGTAGATAGGTAGGTAGGTAGGTAGGTAGGTAGGTCGATAGATAGATAGATAGATAGATAGATAGATAGATAGATAGAGTTGCAGTCCAAGAATAGGTAGAGAAGGAAGAAAGGGGAGAAAGAGGAGGGAAAAGAAAAGGGGGGAAGGAAAGGAAGAGGAAGACAAAGAAGGAAGGAGAGAATGAAAGAAACAAAGGGAAGGAAGGAGAAAGAAAGGAAGAGTGAAGGAGGGAGGGAAGGTTGGCCACAGCAATGTGTGGCAGGTACAGCTAGTTTATCAATACATTACTCCAAGACCAAGGTTTCTGGAAGACACTGTCCCAGGTACAAATGGACCAACATGCCATAGAACAAACCCATTTATTTAAATACTTGGGAATTGTTTTCAGTGAATCCCTTTCCTGGAAATACCACAGGGGAGCAGTGAAGCTGAAAACCGAGAAAAAAAGTAGGTGCCCTGCTAAAATTCTTCTAAACACAGGGTGGCCAGCTGATAGAACCTGCCCTAAAATTTTCAGTAGCTAAGTGATGGCACAAATGCTTTATGGTACAGAATATTATTATTAACAATAATCCATAGCTTTTTGGTTTGGCAAGGGCTTGCTTGACTTTGAGACCAGCTAACCTCCAATATTATTATTTATAATAATCAATAACATTTTGGCTTGGCTTGCTGCTGGAATACTGAGTTTGAGATTCAAAAAATTAAATTCAAATCTATGTATATAATAAAAGTCATTGTTTGTATGCGGAGGAAGTGCGGCGGACATAGGGCGGAGGTGTTTGTGGCAGCTTTCTGATTGGTTGCCACTGAGGTACAATTTGCATATGGTCTCTGATTGGCCAGTCTGAAAATTCCAAGACTCTGAGGTGACAAAGAGGGAAAAAGGCCTCATTCTGTGTCAAAAAATTACCAATACAGACCAAACTTGGCACACAGAGCCCGCAAGACCCACTCTACATCCTACTGCAGTTTGGAGTAGGATGGACCATGGATGATGGGCCTTGCAGTAACTTCACTCACTTCCTGAGACCACTGAGAGCCTCGCCAATGACTGATCAAGACCAAACTTGTCACACAGAGCCCCCGTGACCCACTCTACATCCTGGTGCAGTTTGGAGGAGGATGGACCACAGATAATGGGACTAACTTCCTGAGACAACTGCGAGCCATATAAATAACAGATAAAGACCAACCTTGACACACAATTCCTTTCTCAAATAACCCGGGCAGCGCCGGGTCCCAAAGCTAGTAAGAAATAATTTCAAAGTGTCAGTAGAGCCAGCCAACAGCCAGAACTCAAACCCCAGTTAGCCAGCCAGCCAGCACACATCACACTGCACAATACACAGATAAATCAACCAGTCAGCAACTCTCTTTCTTCATTCTTTTCCCAAATTTAGTGGCTGCCTTCTTTCTTTCTCCCTTCCTTCAAGTCTGTCTTATTGTCTTCTCCCTCCCTGCCTGCCTGAGTCTGCAACCCTCCACCCTTGATCCCTTCCCTTCGAGAGCGCAAGTGCCAATGGTGTCTCTGGCATATGCTCCGCAATTTAAAGGCAACATGGCGGCTGCTCTGCCTCCGTTACCCCTTCCCCTCCCTTCTTCATCACCCCTTATTGGTTGAGAGGCATGCAAACAAGATTTGTTTTGCCTCTCAGCAGGGCTTGGTTGCCCTTCGGATTTTAATTGTGTCACAGGGACTTCTGAAGGAACCGAAACTTAAGAATTTAAGCCATCTAAAGCTTCTTAATGTTTCACACTTATTGTGCAGGCACATTGGAATATGTGTTGTAAATCAGAAACATCTGAAAAAGATACTAGTTACAACACATTCAGATTTTTTTGCACACCTCTACTATCAACACATGGACCTGCGTATTGTTGGGGCGGGGGGGGGGGGGGGGGGGAGACACAATAAAGGGAATTAAGATACCGCTCCCTTTCTGAACGATTTGTATCTCCTCCTCAAGCTCTTTGATCCTCTTCTCCTGCAGATCCAAAAACAAGAGACAAAAAAGATGATCATGTTCTAAATACATATACAACATTATAATCAACAATACCTGAGATAGGCTATTTCTGCTAATTTGAAAAACACTAGTACATCTCTCCAATGCCCCAAGGCACATCAAGTGACACAAGATTCATTTATGTTTCATGCACACCTTATACACATAGCCCAAAAGTGCTTCTGTGCCGTATTTTTAATAATTTTGTGCACAAAGCAAAGTTTGTATACCCCCAAAGCATCAGAAAGCAAAGATGTCACAATCTCAGCTACTCACAATTTTGCATTTGGAGTTTTTTTTCATAATGGACAATGGATGCCCAACTTATACTTTGGTACATGAAGGACTGCCTCTTCCTACATTAACTCACGTGACATTGTGACTATGTTTCTGTTCTACTGTCAGCCACCAGATAATTTGTTGTGGTAAAGCAATTTATATGTTTTGTTAAGTGAGTAATTATATCAAAACAATCAAGAAAATTTTGAATACAAATCAGATTTTAGCCATCACTGATCTGAACTGCCCCATGTAAACTAAATGTGGTTAGATTTAGCTTTTTCACCCGGTGCTGGAGTGCTTGTGCTTGTCTCTTGACTTTCTGTTCCAAAGAACTGATCTTCTTCATCATGGAGGTCATCAGTTCCATGTCACTGGGAGCCGCCTCTAAAGGAATGAAAGTAACCCAACACAAGAGCAACTCAGATTCAAACACACTCTGAGTTACTGCTTTCACAATGACACACTGTGCTCCTTGAAAAAGAGACAAGGAGGCAGAATGCTTAGCTTGTTCCCTATATTTGCTTTCTCTTCAGCTCCTCAGCAGAAATGAGCAAGCACTTGTTTTTGGGTCAACAATGTTGGGGGTAATTCTCAATAATAATAATAATAATAATAATAATAATAATAATAATAATAATAATAATAAATATTTATATACCACGCTATCTCCCTGGGGGGACTCAGGGCGGTTTCCAAATAACAAAAAAAGACATACAGAGTCACAACATGATAAAAAAACAACAACAGTAACAGCAACATAAGCATGGAATTACCCAACAACACATAAATCTTAAAAGAAAAGTCCTACCTGCTCTGCATGTCTATTTGTTAGGGCATGGAAAAGCAATGGGTCAGAACAATTAAAAGGCTGGGTCAAGACTGATACAAATTGAAATAAGATGGGACCAACATTTGGGTACAGTACTGTAATAGGTAAAACGACAACAGTGGGGACAAAAGCTATTTCCAGGGGCGTGTTAGGAGAATGACCAGGGTAATATAAAGGGGGCCAGGTCGTGTCCAGACAGTGTCTGGGCTGAGCTAACACTGGTCACTCTCGAAGATTTGCTGAAACCACCAAGTCTTCAAACTCTTACGAAAAGAGTTTGATGGGGCCTGTCTTATTTCCCTTAAAAGAGCGTTCCAGAGGTGGGGGGCCACTACCAAGAAGGCCCTCTCTCTCGTCCCCACCAACCGTGCTTGTGATGGAGGTGGGAACAATAGAAGGGCCTCCCAGGAGGATCTTAGAGTTTGTAAAGTGGCAAAAACAGCAGTAGCAACAGTTCAGCAGATCAGAAGTTGAGCGATTTTGCTTAAAGCAGAGTTTCTCAACTTGGGGGTTGGGACCCCTGGAGGGGTCATGAGGGGGTGTCAGAGGGGGAGCCAAAGACCATCAGAAAACACAGTATTGTCTCTTGGTTATGGGGGTTCTGTGTGGGAAGTTTGGCCCAATTCTATTGTTGGTGCGGTTCAGAATGTTCTTTGGTTGTAGGTGAACTATAAATCCCAGCAACTACAATCCCCAAATGACAAAATCAATCCCCCCAACCCCACCAATATTCAAATTTGATCAAACTGAGTATTTGTGTCAAATTTGGTCCAGTGAATGAAAATACATCCTACATATCAGATATTTACATTACGATTCATAACAGAAGCAAAATTACAGTTATGAAGTAGCAACTAAAATAATTTTATGGTTGGGGGTCACCAGAACATAAGGGAATGTATTAAGGGGTCACAGCATTAGTAAAGTTTAGAACCACTGGCTTAACCAATACAGAAGCAGAGTCAAGCCTAAAAAGTTATTAAAGACTTTATTCAAAGAACAACATAACAAGGATGGGACGCAGTAGTGCGGTGGGTTAAACCACTAGCTGCAAGAAAATCTGCTGACTGCAAGGTTGGAAGTTTGAAGTCACGAGTCAGAGTGAGCTCCTGACTGTCAGCCCTAGCTTCTGCTGGCCTAGCAGTTTGAAAACATACCATGCAAATAGATCAATAAGTACCACCTCGGTGGGAAGGTAAAAGGGCACCCCGTGCAGATATGCAGACATGCCAGCAAGAAAATCTGAGAAATCTATGGACAACAGCCTCCTTGGCATGGAAAAATGAAACAAGAGCACCTCCCCATGGCCGGAGTTGAGCATCGCCTCCAGACGCCGGAGATTTACCTTTTTCTGTGTTGTATGTCATTGTTCACTGTGTGTAAAAAGCACTGAATGTTTGCCTCATATGTGTATTGCAATTCGCTCTGAGTCCCTCCGGAGAGATAAAGTGGAATATAAATAAAGTGTATTATTATTATTATTATTATTATTATTATTATTATTATTATTAGGTTGGAAGGTTAACAGGACCTAGTTATCTGATTCACTAACCCATAGCAGTCAACTTGTTTCTCCATGCTCATATGAGAAGAACAAAATGGAAAGCTCAGGGGCTATTTATTTACTTACTTCATTTGTATACCGCTTTTCTCCCGGGGGGGGGGGGGGGGGGGGAGGACTCAAAGCTTTGAGTCACCTGAGCGCTGAGAAAAGCGGTATATAAATAAAGTAAGTAAGTAAGTAAGTAAATAAATAAATAAATAAAGCAGTTTCCAACAAATATATGGCAAAAATTCAATGCCTCACATACATAAAAACCTAACATAAAACAATAATAACATACCGCTATCAATTACATCATAAAAACACAACAACATTTAAACATTATCAGTCTAACCAGCTGTTTTTATCCTGTCAGGAGAGACTTGAGAAATTGCAAGTCACTTCTGGTGTGAGAGAATTGGCCAGCTGCAAGGACATTGCCCAGGGGCAACCGGATGTTTTACCATCCTGTGGGAGGCTTCTCTCATGGAGCTGACAGACAGGAGATCACCCCGCTTCCCGGATTTGAATTGCTGACCTTGCAGTTAGCACTCCTGCTGGTACAAGGGTTTAACTCATTGTGCCGCTGGGCAATGACAGGCAGACAGAGAGGACTTATAACTGTCCATACTTTGCGACTTTCCAGGGACAATGGGCTATACTGGATACACTGGAACCTATTGTATGTCAGCCTGTTCAGCCTGTGATTGTGTCTGGTGTTCATGTTGATGTTCATGATGGGAATGACATTCATGTTGATATTCATGATGGGAATGGGGATGATGTTCCTGATGGTGGGCCTGGGGCTGTTGGCAGTGGGTATGAGGATTTGCTTGGGCTTGAGTTAAGTTCAGAAGAGAGGCCTGAGCTGTCTCAGGAAGATTCACAAGACCACATTATTGGGAGAGGCCCTTCACAGCTTTCCTCAGAACAACTGTCTGAAAATGATTTCTCAGGTGCAGGAGTTAATGAGGGAGAAGATAATGGAAACTTGGACAGAAAGCAAAGTTTTACTAAACAGAGACAAAGTCTTCAGAGACTGAGATGATCAGTTTGGCTACAGCAAAAGAGAGTTAACAAATCTTTATCTGGTGGGAAGGTCAAGAAAAAAGCCTTCCTTTCAGTTTTGGGATCTGAAAAAACTTTATAATGATTAATGGGAGAGAGTTGCCTCAGTCGGGTCCACATTGTTATTTTATCATGCTCTTGCTTTCAAGTGCTCTGAGTTTCATGTACCAAGTTTTTGCCAAGCCTAAGATTTGTCTATGAGATTTTCCTGAAGTCTTGTTTTGTGGATTGAAGTGGTTTTATGGATTTTTATGTACTCGTGGATCTTGTTTTCCTTTGAAGCTTATGGACTGTTTTATATATTTTCTCAGAACAACTGTCTGAAAATGATTTGTCAGGTGCAGGAGTTTTGGAGTTGTAGTTCACCTACATCCGGAGAGCACTGTGGACTCAAACAATGATGGATCTGGACCAAACTTGACACAAATACTCAATATGCCCAAACGTAAACACTGGTGGAATTTGGGAAAAATACAGCTTGACATTTACTGTTTTGCTATTTTTTACTTTTTTGCCTACATATATTCTTCGATAAAATGCTTGCTGATTTTACCAAGCTGGTGTGGTGTTTAAGGTCAGAGGTGTTCCTGCTCTGGTGTATGACAGAACCCATCCTACGGCTCCACTGGATCCCTTGTGCCTTCATCAGAATTTGCAGCAACAACTTTCTATTGTGCACAAAGAGCATCAGATAATCTTCCCACAGCACAGAGACTCTAAATGTCTTTTTTGTTCCAGAAGTGACAAAAAAGAAAGTAGCCAGTGCAGTTTCAGAGTTGTGGACAATGTGCCCAATGGTTACAACTCTTCCTTTTCTTTTCTTTTTTGGACATTCACCAGGAACCAGCAGCTAACTGGTTGGAGATTTACATTGGTCCAGGGATCACTCATTTGAATGTCACAACAGTAATGCAGAAGAGTTCAAGGAATTGTACTGTTTAACGTTGTATGAATTCGACCTCTTGCAAATTTTCACCCACAAAAGGGGGAAACAGGTTACAGTGGAGGAAGGCTGTGTAGGTGTCTTTATTTGCATGTGTCTGTATGTTCATGCTGGCAAAGAAGGAAGTGGGTTGATGGGGAATGTGTGAGTCCTCAGAATTTGGTTCAGCAATAAGCACCTGCCTCCCTCCATCTGAGAAACAAAAGCAACAAGACTTCTCTTGGCCTAGTTGAAGAGGGCAACGCATCCTGCTTCACAAGTCTTCAAAGACTCAACCAATCTATTTGACATTCAAAATATGTCACACAAGGCAAAGTCTTTCATGCTAATATGCCTAATTTTAAAAGCACTTCCTTTCAGAGAAAGTAAAAAATGAGTTTTAGTCTGGTTACATCTTCCATGATGTGCCCTTCATTTTTTTTTTTTAGTGTGCCACTGCTGTTTCTGGCTTCACAGGTTTAGGTTTAATCCCAAATGGATGCATACCCACTCAAAAAAACTCAGAGAAATTTGTACTATGAGCATCAATCCCTCTTTTAAGCTATCTTCAACACTGGAGGGAAAATGCTTTGCAACAGAGAGATTCTTTGTAGCTCTACAGCAGGCATGGGCAAACTTGGGCCTTCCAGGTGTTTTGGACTTCAACTCCCACAATTCTAACAGCCCCAGGCCCCTTCCTTTTCCGCCTCAGCCGTTTAAGTGGCTGAGGCAGAAAAGGAAAGGGCCCGAGGCTGTTAGGAATCAAAGAGCACTCCACCAATGATGGGATTGAACCAAACTTGGCACACAGAACTCCCATGACAGACAGAAAATACTGGAAATGTTTGTTGGGCATTGATCTTGAGTTTTGGAGTTGTAGTTCACCTACATCCAGAGAGCACTGTGGATTCAAACAATGATGAGTCTGGACCAAACTTGACACAAATACTCAATATGCCCAAATGTGAACACTGGTGGAGTTTGGGGAAAATCGACTTTGACATTTGGGAGTTGTAGTTGCCAGGATTTATAGTTCACCTACAACCAAAGAACATTCTGAACCCCACCAATGATAGAATTGGCCAAACCCCTCACACAGAGGCCCCATGCCTTGAAGGGACTTGCTGGTGCGAGCCTACCTCCAACCTCGCACGCTCTCCCTCGCCCGCACATGCGTACCATGTTGCCATGCGCCGAGCATGCCTGCTCTCCCCTCCCTGCTTGGTGTCTCAGAAACTGCCCGCCCCTTGGTTGAGAGACTGGCCAATCACAGCAGAGGAGTCCTCTTGGGAGGATTCACAGTCTGTTTCCAAAAAGGAAGAGAATGATAGGCAGAGAGATCTTCAGCCTTCTCTGCCAAAGGGGTTCCTAAGACCATCAGAAATATCTGTTCTCTGATGTTCTTTGGTGAACTCTCTGAAACCCCCCTTGCAACCCCCCCAGGGGTCCCGACCCCTAGGTTGAGAAACACTGCCCAAGAAGATCCATATTTTTCCACCATAGTACTACAGGAAACATACCCAATCTATGGTTTTTACAGCTTAGTCATTGGTGACTGATGCACTCTTATTTTTGATGGTGGGTTGGAAGAACTGAGTACAAAACCTACACATACTCAAGGGAATCCGTCTCCTTGCATCCAGTTTTTTTACCTGTCTGTATGTGCACACTTTCTTTTCATCTTACAATCTATTATCCCTTTCCCATTTTCTCTTTGACATGTTATGTAGTTACTGGAACTCTGGACTTCCTCTGGCACTACATTATCTTCTGCTTTCACTTTTAAATGGATTGTTATTCTACCCCACCAATGATAGAATTGGGCCAAACTTTCCTCACAGAACTCCCATGACCAACCTAAAATACTGGGGGAATTTGGGGGGAATTGACAGTGATTTAGGGAAGATGTAATTCACCTACATCCGGAGAGCACTGTTAACCCATTCAACTACGAATCTGGACCAAACTTCACACATAGACCCATTGTGGCCAACTTTGGATACTGATAGGGTTTGGGGAGGAGTGGTTCACCCACATCCTTATGCATTTTCTAATGAGAGCATTAATAAAAAAAATAAAAGGACTTTCTTCTAATATATAGCATTACAAATGACCTAAGCTGTTTCTGCTGCTACTCCTCCTCCTGATGCTGCTGGGCCATTTTCAGTCCCACGTGTGCTTTCCCCCCTGTCTTGAAGGGACTTGAGAGCCTCCCTCCTGCCTCGCGCAGTCTCCCTTGCCTGCGCATACACACCATGTGCCTGCACGCCTGCTCTCCCCTTCCAGCTTGGAATCTCAGAAATAGCCCTCCCCTTTGCTGAGAGGCCAGACAATCACAGTGGAGGAGGGCTTTTGGTGGGAGGATTTGCCATCTGTATCCAAAAAGGAAGAGAAGGACAGACGGAGAGACCTTCAGCCTTTTCTGCCAAAGGGGTTCCTAAGACCATCAGAAATATGTGTTTTCTTATGGTCTTTGGTGACCCCTCTGAAACTCCCTTTGTGACCCCCCCCTCCAGAGGTCCCAACCTCCAGGATGAGAAATGCTGCTTTAAACTGAAGTTATTGAGAAATTAAATCACGTGCCAGATAGAACTGTTCTTATATACAGAAAGACTTGTAACAAACAAAGAGCTCTCAAAAGAAGGACACAGGGAACAAAACCTCTGCGTTATCTACATGTTTGAAACATGCATTTCACAGCACCTTATTTCCAACCACTATAATTATACCTGATTGGCTTGAACTTCCACTTGAACAGGAAGGTGCACTGATTGGAATCCGAGCACCTGGCCCAAGGATTTCATCCATCATAGCAAGTTCATCCTCTGAGGAGCAAATGGGAAAATCATTTATCAAGATATTGTTGAAGGCTTTCATAGCCAGAATCACTAGGTTGTTGCGAGTTTTCCGGGCTGTATGGCCATGTTTCAGAAGCATTCTCTCCTAAAGTTTCCCCTGCATCTATGGCAGGCATCCTCAGAGGTTGTGAGGTCTGTGAGAACTCTGAGGACGCCTGCCATAGATGCAGGAGAAACGTCAGGAGTGAATGCTTCTGGAACATGGCCATACAACCCGGAAAACACAAATCAACCCATTTCTCAAGAGTTAAACAATGGATTGTCTCATTACCAGTAGTGGTGATGGTGGTGGAGGGGAGGAGGTTTGGGAGAGGAGCCCTAGTATTTAGCAAATCTTAAGGCAATGGACATTTAAAACATACGGTCTGGTTAACCCCTGTCTCACTAACAAAGGACGAACTTTCTAAACCAGAGCTAAGTCTACATTGCAGAAACTGGATTATATGGCAGTGTAGATGGAGTCTCAGTAAATGCATATACGACTGCCTAAACCTCAGGACCTTCCTGGACTGTGAACCACAGCTCAGTTCCATGCTATCGATGCCTGGTCAAGAAACTGTTTATAATTTTTTATCTGTGAACACTTGGCACATATACCTGTCATGACAAAATAGTGGTGGTGGTTGAAGGGATTGACTCGGGATGGTGGGAGTTGTACTCCACCCACATCCGAAGACCCATATGCACCTTTAATCAAGAGAGCGACTACTTTCTGGGCTGTCTGGCCATGTTCCAGAAGCGTTCTCTCCTGACATTTCGTCCACATCATGGCACGCATCCTCAGAGGTTGTGAAGTCTGTTGGAAACTGGGCAAGTGGGGGTTATATATCTGTGGAATGTTCAGAGTGGAAGAAAAAACTCCCGTCTGTTTGAAGCAAGTGTGAATGCTGCAACTGGCCAACCTCTGTGGATGCCTGCCATAGATACAGGCAAACTGTCAAGAGATAACGCTTCTGGAACATAGCCATACAGCCCGGAAAACTGACAGCAACCCAGCGATTCCGGATATGAAAGCCTTCGACAACACCTTGACTGTTTATTTATTAATATTTATTGTTACAAAAGTCCCAAACTGGGCATCGCTGGGGATCTAAACTAGTAAAATGTAATTAACCAATATACACAAACCACCAAAAGGATGATAAAGGGCTTGTTTCCTACCTTTCTGGATATTTTCTTTGAGGTGTACAATCTTCTTCCTGAAATCCAGAAGAAAACAGGAGATATTTATAGTTAATTTTTTATTTGTTTAGGTTATTTATTTAATATCTTACCAGTCTGGAACCCAAATATTATTAGTTATTCTACTTATTCTAAAATGAATCCATTTTGATACTCCAGCCTACATTTCCTGACAACCTGGTGTATTTGAAACACAGCAGTCTTTACTTTTAGAGAAAAGAGGAAGCTACATCTCAGACATAAAATGAACACGTTCTTTAGTTTGTTGATGATGTGAGTATAGTGAAAGTAAAGGTTCCCTCTGACATTAAGTGTAGTCGAGTCTGACTCTGGGGAGTGGTGCTCATCTCCACTTCTAAGCCAAAGAGCTAGCTTTGTCCATAGACACCTCCAAGTTCATGTGGCCAGCATGACTGCATGGAGCACCGTTACCTTCCCAGCAGAGCGGTTCCTATTGATCTACTCACATTTGCATGTTTTTGTGCTGCTAGGTTGGCAGAAGCTGGGTCTAACAGTGGGAACTCACCCCACTCCCCGGATTCAAACCACCGACCTTTTGGTCAGCAAATTCAGCAGCTCAGCGGTTTAACTCACTGCACCAGCAAGCGAAAGTTCAAAAGTGGCAGGCTCAAACCCAGCACCTCAATCCGTGGGTGATACCAGATGAGAGACTCCCCCCTGGGCACACAGAAGACTGGGCGACTTGGAAGGCGCTGAACAGACTGCGCTCTGGCACCACGAGATGCAGAGCCAATCTTAAGAAATGGGGCTACAGGGTGGAATCCACGGCATGCGAGTGCGGAGAAGAGCAAACCACTGACCACCTGCTGCAATGCAACCTGAGCCCTGCCACATGCACGATGGAGGACCTTCTTGCGGCAACACCAGAGGCACTCCAAGTGGCCAGATACTGGTCAAAGGACATTTAATCCACTACCAAGTTTGCAAAATCTGTGTTTTTTTATCTGTTTGTTTGTTTTGTTCTGTTAGAAATGTAATACAATGTTCTGGTTGCGGATGACACTATAAATAAATACCACCAAGGGGCCATGATGTGAGTATACATGATGGAAAAAGAAATATAGAGACTGATAACAAGTGTTGCTGCTGGTGACTTCAAACTGCAAAGTAAGTGAAATCTGTTGTTGTTCATTTGTTCAGTCACTTCCGACTCTTCGTGACCTCATGAACCAGCCCACGCCAGCCCATGTCAGCCGTCGCCACCCCCAGCTTCTTCAAGGTCAAGCCAGTCACTTCAAGGATGTCATCCATCCATCTTGCCCTTGGTCAGCCCCTCTTCCTTTTTATTTTATTTATTTATTTAGAACTTTTGTATACCGGTCTTCTCACCTCCGTGGAGGGACTTAGGCCAGTTTCCAACAATAATATTACAAGCAATCGTTTAAAAACATCACATTCCGTAATATACTAACACATTAAAATACCAAAAATACAATCATATAATTATAATGGCCAAGTCGTCACAATAAAATTGTTGTTCATCACCATCCATCCATATAGCCATGAGTTATTGACTCACTCGTCAAATGCCAGTTTCCAGAGCCAGGTTTTCACCTGTTTTCTAAAAATCAGGAGAGAAGGGGCAGTTCTAATCTCCAGAGTTCCTTCCTTTCCCTCCAGCATAATTGTATTCTCTAAGCTACGTGAAAGCTCACTGCCCTAACTGAGTGCAGAGGCTAGAAAGTTTACATTTTTAGATATGATCATAATAATGATTATATACTCTGCCCTTTCCCCAGAAGTAGATGACAAACAATACAATCCCCTTTCAACATGGCACAGGTTACTGTATAGAACTAGTTTTTTTAGGCTGTAAGATAATGAGAGCTACAATGCAATGAAGCATGTTTTCAAAGCTCTGTCTAGTTTCAATTGAGATGCAATTTGTATTATGCAGTAGAGTCAAACCTGGAATGTGCACAGAAGCCATCTTGATCAATGAAGGCAGGATCCTCCATAAACCATTATAACCTAGGAGCTACGGGTATTAGCAGCCCATAGAAGTGTGCAAACAAGCTCCAACTTACCCAGTTTTTTGCACCTGAAGTGGCATTCTACGAACCTTCCCCAGAGAAGAGAGAGGCGAAGTCATGGTTTATCTTGAACACAGTTTCATATACTAGGGATGCAGGAAGAGAAAATGTACTGAAATTTGCAATCAATATGTGAAACTTGGAACTGAACACAATGGGGGCAATGCTAACTTTTGATGGAATAAAACTCTTATAATACATCTGATCTTATAATACATCTGATGGGGTCAGAAATGAACTTGGCATCCCTTTCTGTCTGGCATTTGTGGCACTGAATGTATGAAGAGAAACGTATGGGGTCCATTTCCCCAGATGTGCGTATTATCCCCAATTGACATACACTTTCAGAAAGTACAAAAGTACAAAAGGCTAAAAGGGAAGAAAGGAGGAAGGGAGAAAGAAGGAGATAATGCACTGAGCTGCATTATATATATACATATATACTAGGCCTGGATCAAACTGGGGACAGTTCCATCTTGTCTCCTGCATATGCCATCAGTTGGGGACCCCTCCCCCCCAACACTAAGTGCCGCTTTGGGCCAGAGTGAAGAGAGAGGGGGCCAGGGGACAGTTCCATCTTGTCTCCTGCATATGTCATCTGATGGGGACCCCTCCCCCCAACACCAACTGCCGCTCTGGGCCAGAGTGAAGAGAGAGGGGGCCAGGGGACAGTCCCATTTGTCTCCTGCATATGTCATCAGTTGGGGAGCCCTCCCCGCAACACCAACTGCCACTCTGGGCCAGAGTGAAGAGAGAGGGGGCCAGGGGACAGTCCCTTCTTGTCTTCTGCATATGTCATCAGTTGGGGACCTCTCCCCCCAGCACCAACTGCTGCTCTGGGCCTGCATATGTCATCAGTTGGGGACCCCTCCCCCCCCAACACCAACTTCCACTCTGGGCCAGAGTAAAGAGAGAGGGGGCCAGGGGACAGTCCCATCTTGTCTCCTGCATATGTCATCAGTTGGGGACCCCTCCCCACACCATCAACTGCCATTCTGGGCCAGAGTAAAGAGAGAGGGGGCCAGGGGGCAGTCCCATCTTGTCTCCTGCATATGTCATCAGTTGGGGACCCCTCCCCCAGCACCAACTGCCTCTGGGCCAGAGTGAAGAGAGAGGGGCCAGGGGACAGTTCCATCTTGTCTCCTGCATATGTCATCAGTTGGGAACCCCTCCCCAGCACCAACTGCCGCTCTGGGCCAGAGTGAAGAGAGAGGGGGCCAGGGGACAGTTCCCATCTTGTCTCCTGCATATGTCATCAGTTGGGGACCCCTCCCCCCAACACCAACTGCCACTCTGGGCCAGAGTGAAGAGAGAAGGGGCCAGAGGACAGTCCCATCTTGTCTCCTGTGCTATGCTAATAATATAATATAATGTAATATAATATATTGTCTATACATATAATATAATAATATGATGTTATATATATAATTATATATTTATATTACATGTAATATTACTAATAATATTACAATATAATGGTATAGTACAATATAGTAATATTTAATACTGATATTGTAGTATGTTAATAATATAATATATTGTATGTATATATATCTTGTGAGCCGCTCTGACTTCCTTTAGGGGCGAGAATATAAATGTCGTAAATAAAACAAACAAACAAACAAATATTATGCAGCTTAATGCACTGAACTGCACTATATATATATATATATATACACACACACAGGGGCGGCTCAACCCATTACGCAAAGTAAGCATTTGCAGTATGGTTGATTTTGCCCAGGGGCGCTCTTGAGGTGCTCTTGGGGAAAAATAGACCTTGACATATGCGAGTTGCAGTTACTGGGATGTATAGTTCACCTACAATCAAAGAGCATTCTGAACTCCACCAACGATGGAATTGAACCAAATATAGCACACAGAACTCCCATGACGAACAGAAAATATATATCAGTGATTGGTTGGGGGCGGGGGGCGCCAAAATGCTGTTTGCTTACCATTGAAAATTTCCTAGGGCCGCCTCTGTATGTATGTATGTGTACACATACACACACACATCTATACCAGGCCTGGGCCGACTTGGGCCCTCCCTCCAGATGTCTTGGACTTCAACTCCCACAATTCCTAACAGCCGTTGAGTTGAAGTCCAAAACACCTGGAAGAATGGCCCACGTTGGCCTAGGCCTGTGGGGAACTCCTTTAGCATTCTCTGCCTGAGACTACTGCAGCTGCACTACCAAGCTACAATCCCTAGGATTTCCTACCAGTGAGCCACCTAAACTGCATTACTTCTGCAGTGTAGATGCACCTTAAGAGAGAGAGAGAGAGAGAGAGAGAGAGAGCGCAAACTCTTCGGAGGCAGAGGCTTTTGTCAAAAGACTCACCCACCCTTCCTAAAGAAGGCTTCAGGCTGCTGCCGGCATCTTGTTTGCCCTCAGTTGCTAGGCAACCGAAGCCGGGCCTGCTCTGTGCTCAGGCCTTTCTAACTGGCTTTGTTTTTTTGAGGGGCATGTTTACTAACAACATTATTTAAGCTGCTTTCTTATGATGCCAGAGGCATCACAGCCTGTCAAAAGGAGTTGCAGTATACAGCAGGAGGAATGCAGTTCACTGCCAAATCTCAATGCAGAATGGGAACTGCTTTTGTGCAGCCTTCTCTCCGCAACAATGGTTCTGCTTCACCAAACAACAGGCACTGCTTGACTATCATTGCAGCACACCCAAATATCTGGGAATTACCCTGGACCGTGCTCTGACCTACAAGAAGCACTGCTTGAATATCAAGCCAAAAAGGAGTTCTAGAAACAATCTTCTATATCTCAGTTCTTGTGGGCTTTTTCGGGCTATATGGCCATGTTCTGGAGGCATTCTCTCCTGACGTTTCGCCTGCATCTATGGCAAGCATCCTCAGAGGTAGTGAGGTCTGTTGGAACTAGGAAAAAGGGTTTGTATATCTGTGGAATGGCTGGGGTGAGACAAAGGGCTTTTGTAAGTTGGGCTAGGTGTAAATCTTTCAACTGGCCACCTTAATTAGCATACAATGGGCTGACTGTGCCTGGAGCAAACTCTTCTTGAAAGGTGATTAGATGTCCCTGCCTGTTTTTCTCTCTGCTGTTTTTGCTGTTGCAATTTTGGAATTTTTTAATACTGGTAGCCAGATTTTGTTCATTTTCATGGTTTCTTCCTTTCTGTTGAAATTGTCCACATGTTTGTGGATTTCAATGGCTTCTCTGTGTAGTCTGACATGGTGGTTGTGAGAGTGGTCCAGCATTTTCTGTGTTCTCAAATAATATGCTGTGTCCAGGTTGGTTCATCAGGTGCTCTGCTATGGCTGACTTCTCTGGTTGGAGTAGTTTGCAGTGCCTTTCATGTTCCTTGATTCGTGTTTGGGCAATGCTGCGTTTGGTGGTCCCTATGTAGACTTGTCCACAGCTGCATGGTATACAGTAGACTCCTGCAGAAGTGAGAGGATCCCTCCCAGAGGAAAAGTGTTCTTGCCATACATCAAGGGAACCACTGACCGCATAGGGAAGCTGATGAGGAAACACAACATACAAACTATCTACAGACCCACCAAGAAAATCCAACAAATGCTACATTCAGCAAAGGACAAGAGGGATCCTCTCACTTCTGCAGGAGTCTACCGTATTCCATGCAGCTGTGGACAAGTCTACATAGGGACCACCAAACGCAGCATTGCCCAGACACGAATCAAGGAACATGAAAGGCACTGCAGACTACTTCAACCAGAGAAGTCAGCCATAGCAGAGCACCTGATGAACCAACCTTGGACACAGCATTTTATTTGAGAACACAGAAATGCTGGACCACTCCAACAACCACCATGTCAGACTACACAGAGAAGCCATTGAAATCCACAAACATGTGGACAATTTCAACAGAAAGGAAGAAACCATGAAAATGAACAAAATCTGGCTACCAGTATTAAAAAATTCTAAAATTGCAACAGCAAAAACAGCAGAGAGAAAAACAGGCAGGGACATCTAATCACCTTTCAAGAAGAGTTTGCTCCAGGCACAGTCAGCCCATTGTATGCTAATCAAGGTGGTCAGTTGAAAGATCCACACCTAGCCCAACTTACAAAAGCCCTTTGTCTCACCCTGGTCATTCCACAGATATATAAACCCCTTTTTTCCCAGTTCCAGCAGACCTCACCTCTGAGGATGCTTGCCATAGATGCAGGCGAAACGTCAGGAGAAATGCCTCTAGAACATGGCCATATAGCCCAAAAAAACCCACAAGAACTGAGTGATTCCAGCCATGAAAGATATAGTATAATAGATTTGAAAGGGACCCCCGAAGAAGGACAATGATATCTAGCATATTCCAGAGTAGGCAAACCAGACACTCTCCACATCAACACTAACAAAGAAACAGCAAGAAATACTGTTTACCCATAAGCAGAAAGAAATTACATATATTAGAAACCAACACTTTCTCATTACTTTATTCTCCAGATCAACAGACTGGGGCACAGCAACGCGTGGCAGGGGATGGCTAGTATTGTACGAAAGCTGACTGGCACAAGCTGGGAATCAAAACCAGGCACATTGAAGACATTGGCCCTTGCGCTTTGCCACTCTGCTGCTGAGTACGCATGCCCAGTATGGAATGCATCTTTCCACATTAAAACAGTGGATGTGGCTCTTAATGAGACATGCTGCACTATCACAGGATGTCTTGACCCTACACCGTTAGAGAAATTATACTATTTAGTTGGTATTGCACCACCTGGTAGCCGTCGGGAAGTAGCAACCAGTAATGAAATGACATCTTCAGCCCAAGTTTGTCCATGCCTGGGTTAGACCCCTCTTTCATATAATATACTAGCCGCCCCCTGCCACGTGTTGCTATGGCCCAGTTTGGTGATCTGGAAAATAAAGTAATGAGAAAGTTTTGGTTGGTAATGTTTCTAATTTCTTTATGCTTGTGGGTAAACAGCATTTCTTGTTGTTTCTTTTTGTTGTTGTTATTTCATTATCATTTTTATTTTTTTATTGTGCCTTTAATTGAAAAAGATAAAACATTGAAAGTGTGAGAATAATTTTCAAATAGCAAAGTTAGAAAAAGAAAGAATAAAGAGTTGTTTCTTAGAGATTGTCCGGTTTGCCTGCTCTGGAACATGCAACATATAATTGTCCTTCTTTAGGGGTCCCTTTCAAATCTATGATACTATATCTGTCATATACATATATGTGTGTGTGTGTGTTTGTGTGTGTGTGTGTGTGAATCATATATATCTATCTATATCTTTGGCTGGATGGCTCTTTATCAGGAAGGCTTTATGTTTTCTTGCCCTGGTGAAGGGAGTTGGACTGGATGGTCTTAACACAGCATTTCTCAACCTGGGCATGGGGGGGGGGGGGGTCAGAGGGATCACCAAAGATCACCATGTTGGTCATGGGGGTTCTGTGTGGCAAGTTTGGCCCAATTCTATCGTTGGTGGGGTTCGAAATGCTCTTTGATAGTAGGTGAACTATAAATCCCAGTAACCCAAATGTAAAGGTCTATTTCCCCCCAAACTCCACCTGTGTTTATATTTGGGCATACTGAATATTTGTGCCAAGTTTGGTCCAGGTCCATCATTGTTTGATTCCACACTGATCTCTGGATGTAGGTGAACTACAACTCCAAAACTCATGGTCAATGGACACCAAACCCTTCTAGTGTTTTCTGTTTGTCATGGGACTCCTGTGCACACGGGACTCCCATGACTAACAGAAAACACTAGAAGGGTTTGGTGTCCATTGACCTTGAGTTTTGGAGTTGGCTCAATTCCAATTCCACCAAAATCATATTTTTTTTGGTGTGATGTTCAAAATCCAAAAATCATGGATCAATCCTCCCCAAACCCTACCAGTATTCACAGTTGGCTATGTTGGGTCTGTCCGCCAAGTTTGGTCCAGATTCGTTGTTGGCTGGGTTCAGTGCTATCTGGATGTGGGTGAACTATAACTCCCAGAGATCAAGGTCAATCATTCCCAAACTCTGCCTTTATTCACAGTCCATAGTTGGTGGTGGTGGTGGGAGGTCACAGTTCCTCTAGATGTGGGTGAACTACAACTCTCTGAAATCAAGGTAATTTTTCCCCAATCGCCTCCAGTATGTTCAGTTGGTCATAGGGGGTCTAAAGAAACAAATCATTATGATGATGTTTATTTATATCATGCTTTTTCTCTCCACAAGGAGACTCAAAGTGGCTAATATTAAAGGCATTACAATATAGTTTCAAATATACAAATATTAAAACAGTATTAAACATCAAATCCATTAAAAAAAAATTTAAAACCACAGCCTCCCCTGACAAGATCGTTAAAAACACATGCATACATCAATTGTAATAACAACATGTCTGGATTCACAACATATTTCATGAAAATGTTTCATTTATATATTTAAAATATATGATTTATTGTTTATTTCACATGGATCCAGACGTTTCTCATTATGTTTGAGAGACACACCTACACACTGCAGCCAACATAGTTTGGACAGCTCTGTACTAGATTATGGATACTAATACTTGTACCAATAGCATTTCTAATATTTCAAAGCAGAGAATGGAGGGTATCACTTATAATGTTGAAGCCCAGATGTTTCCGTATGTAGGAATGTGTCATTCAAAAGCATGAAGTTTTTCTTCCTGTCAACTAGTATGTGTGTTCTGTCGCTGCTGGGCTTGAAACGAAGTGCCTTTAAAACAGGACGTGCAACTTTAGCCCAATGGGAAGCCAAGGAGCCTGAAGAGAAGCCCTTAGAGAATTTTCCCCCATTAAACAGTCTTTAGAAGGCTTGAGCTTAAATACAACAAAGTCTTTTATTGATGAACAATTAAACAGAAACTTATTTTGTCTTCAGAGATTAAACAAATGCTTCCAGGCTTCAAGCAAAGAGAATTTTCCCCATTAAACAGTCTTTAGAAGGCTTGAGCTTAAATACAACAAAGTCTTTTATTGATGAACAATTAAACAGAAACTTCTTTTGTCTTCAAAGATTAAACAAATGCTTCCAGGCTTCAAACAACTGGTGGCTTCTAACTGTTTCTTTGCTTTACTTTCAAGGAAAAATCCCTTTCTAGCTCCTCCCAGGCTAACTGTGAACCTAAGCCTGACTGATGTGGGTCCACTACTGGGCTGAACTGCGTCTCAAAACCGAGTGGACGTACCAGTAGGCCTGTAGTCACTTAGCTGGAGTTCTTGGTGTTTAAAGCTGTTATTCCCTCTGAAATTCCTCAGGGCTGTAAGCAGAGGCGGCCCTAGGTAATTTTCAACGGTAAGCAAACAGTATTTTGGCGCCCCTCCCCCAACCAATCATTGATATATATTTTCTGTTTGTCGTGGGAGTTCTGTGTGCCATATTTGGTTCAATTCCATCATTGGTGGAGTTCAGAATGCTCTTTGATTGTAGGTGAACTATACATCCCAG